CCCCCCAGAGGGGTTCCCTACATTCCCCCCCGCTGCCCCCGCAGACATCGAGCGCTACTCAGACAAGTACCAGCTCTCCAACCCTGTGGACAGTGCCATCGACTGGAACCCAGGTGGGGGGACACGGGAGGGGACCTGGGTGGAACATGGGGACGTGGGGTTGGCTGGGAGGCTGACCAACCTCCCACTTTGGCCCCCAGACTGGAGGCGGCTCCCACGGGAGCTGAAGATCCGGGTGCGGCGGCTGCGGAAAGGCAGTGAGTGACCCCTTCTTGCCCACACCCCGTGTGTCCCCTCTTTTCCCCTGGGGGCTGACAGTCCCCTTTGCCCCCCCAGGGACCGCTCCCCTCGTCCCCAAGCAACACGTGGCACTTGACAAGGAGGAGACTATTAAGAAGCTGGAGGTAGCGAGGTGAAGGTGGGGGTGTCCCTATTGGCTGCATTTTAGAGTGTCTCCCCCCGGTAATGCTCCCCTGATCTACACAGAGCCTGGAGAAGAAGGAGGAGGAGGTGACATCAGAGGAGGAAGAGGAGAAGGAGGAGGAAGAAGAGGGAAAGGAGGAGGAGGAGGAGGAGTACGATGAGGAGGAGCACGAAGAGGTGGAAGGGGGAGCACCCTGGGGCGGTTGGTGGGTTGGAGACATCCCAGGTGCCACTGTGTTCCCCCGTGTCCCCCCACAGGAGACTGACTACGTCCTGTCCTACTTTGATAATGGAGAGAGCTTCGGCCCCGATAGCGATGATAACGGCGACGAGGCGGTGTACTGACCCCGAGAGCGGGTACCCGCGAGAGCCTGCACCCCATAGGCTGTGGGGAACTCCGGGAGTGGTGACCCTCCTCCAGCAGCGGGGACACCTTGAAAGCGGGGACTCCCCCACACTTCTGCCACAGCAGGGACCCTTTGCTCCTCCCACAGGACAGTGGGGACCCCCTCTCGCCCCTCTGGGGCAGCGGGATCTCCCGTCATCCCCCGCGCGCCGCCACCAGGTGGTGCCGGTGGGCCGGGCCCGCTGGGGGGCGTGGCCACACGGGGGCGGGGCCATGCCGGGGGCGGGGCCATACCTGGGGCGGGGCCATACCGGGGGTGGGGCCGTACCGGGGGGTGGGGCCGTACCGGGGTGGGGCCATACCGGGGGGCGGGGAGGGGGGGGCCTGGTTTTGAGGTGGGTTTTGGTGATGGGGAGTCAGCAAACGTGCCCTGGCCCCCCTCTGACCGCCCCCCCCCCCCCCCCCTTTTACAGCAGCTTTTAACTTTTGTGCTTTTCTAATTAAACAATTTAATCAAATTTTGCGTTGATTGAAGCGGATTTTGGTATTTCTGGTTCAGCTCTGGGTGCTTTTTGTGTGGGGGGTTGGGTAAGGGGGTTACCAGGGAAAGGTGGTATTTTGGGAGGAAAGGTTTTATGGAGAGGGGAAGGTCGGGTTTTGGGTGGAAAAAGTGGTTTTCAGGAGATAAAGTTTTTTGGGGGAGAAAGGTATATTTTTTTGGAGAAGTTTTTTCTTGTGTGGGAAGATGGGTTATTTGGGAGTAAAAGTATAGTTTTGGGGAGGGAAAGGTATTTTCAAATAGAAGGTACATTTTTGAGGGAGGAAAGTTTGGTTTATTGTGGGGGAGGTTTTCTTTGGAGGGGCAAGGTGTATTTAATAATACGGGTTTTAGAGGATAAGGTGGATTTTGGGGGAGGGAAAGAGTTTTTTTCAGGGATGAGCTTTTGAAGTGAGGAAAGGTGGATTTTTGGGGGGGAGGTTTTTCGGGGGGAGAGGCATTTTTTTGGTGGAGAGAAATGGCTCTTTTGGGGAAGGGAGTGTTTTCAGGGGGATAAAGGTGTTTGGTGGAGGGGAAGTGTTTTGGGGAAAGGCAATGTGGGGTTTTTTTTGGAGGAAGGAGTGTTTTTTCTCGGAGGGGGTGTGTTTGTGCCGCAGGCCAGGGGCAAGTCTGCTCACATGAGCATCACATGCTGGCCCCCTCTCCACCCCCCCAGACTGGTTCCTGTTTTGAGGCCACAAACCTTCCGGCAGTTGTGGACTTGCAGCTGCTCCCATGCCACCCCCCTTTTTATCCCTGTTTCCCTCTTTCTCCCTTCTTTCCAGGTGTGTGTGGGAACCATAGGACCCTCATCTGTAGCCCCCAGTGCTTTCAGGGGGTGGGATCTACCCCTCCCCACCCCCCCCCAGCCTGGGGAAGGATTTGGGACGGGGCGAGATGCCCTAATTCCTTGGATTCGTGTCACCCCTGTCAGCCGCATGTTTCAGTTTTCCCGGTATTCTGGGGCCTGTCCCACCTCCGTGGGTCCCCTGGTGCTTCCACCCTGTGCCCATCCCATATTCCCACCCCATTCCAGCCCTAGAAGGCTCTCACTTCTCCCCTGCCAGTGCTCCCAGTTTACCCTTTGGCCCAGTTGGAATTCGTCAGGAAGCTCCGGAGCCAGCATGGATCAGAGACCGAGAGTCAGGGAGTGGGGGGGGTCCCCAAACTACGGGGGGTCCCCAAAAACCAGGGTGGGTCAGACTGAACTGCCAGATCTGTGTGGACCCTGCTTCAGAGCTGTTCTGACACAAACATTCCTCTGGCAGAGGAATGGTGGGGGAAGTTTATGGCCTTAATAATTATGTTAATTAGAGCTGTAAACTGGGGAGGGGAGCAGGGTGAGTGCAGGGTTCAGCCCCCATGGGCGGGGGGGAGGGGGGGGAGCCTGGAGGGTGGTGCTGGCTCTTCCAGGGCCTTCTCCAGGGGGGAAAATCAATTATTTCAGGGGGGTGTTACTGTAGGGTCTCCAGCAGGGGGCTGGCAGTTTCGCCCTACTCTGGGGGAGGCCCTGGGCTGCCTATGCCCGCCCCCCCCCAGCCCTCTCGGCCCAGCCCATGCCTGGTCCAGAGTAGGATGACCCTTTGCCTCCTTGGCCAGGAGCCAGAGCGGCTCCAGTGCCAAAGGAAAACTGAAGCACAGATGAGAATAAGGCTGGGGGGGCCAGCAGGGGAGGCAGAGCAGGCTGGGGGGGTTCCAAGTGGGTAAGAGAGCAAGAAACAGAGCCAAGGTCATGGCCTTGTTCTGCAACACCAGCACCTTTCAGCCACATCCCAAGAGTCAGCCAGGGGGCCTCTTACAGTAGTGCCAAAAAAAGGCAGGAACAGCAGGAACACTCCCCCCCCACCTCAGTTTCCCTGCTCTGCACCCCCCTAAGCCTGTTTCAACCTCTCTGTGCTTCAGGTTCCCTTCCGTGGTCCACTTCTCAGCTTTTTGCTTTTTCCCCTGGAAAAAACAGGAGACCCTGCCCCAGGGCTGCTCCCAGAAACACAGGAATTGGGAAAATAAGGTCAAATCCCCACGCCAAAGGGGTTTCTACCATTCTCCCACCCGTGAGAGATACACGAAAGGCACCATTTCATTTGTTTATTACAAACTTTGCCCCCCAGGGGCCACACAAAGGTACAAAACTTGCATTTTTGTGCTTCCCCCCCACGCCCCCCCAAATACTATGTACAAAACTGAAGAGTACAAAAGGTGCCGGTCACAAAAACAGGTTTGTGTAGCGACAGGACGGATTCACGATGTCACAGTGTCCCCCTCTCTCAGCGGGAGTGCAGGGCAGCCAGAGCAGCACCCAGAATTACAGAATTAGGATGGAATTAGTTAAAAACAGAATTTCCTGCCCATCACAAGTCATGACAGGGCAAGGACAGGCAGTGTGTTCCAAGAGTCACGACAGCCAAGGTTTTCCAGCCCTTTTCCAGCCAGATCTGCCTTGTCTCCCCCCAGTCTTTGCGGCTTCTCTGCCAGCTCAGAGTGCCGGGGTGCCCAGGATGGCCCTGCAACAGTGGTTCCTCGAGAATGCAGCAGTTCCTCGGGAATGTGGCAGTTCCATGGGAATGTGCACTTCCCCTCCAGGTGTGGGGCCAGACGTGCTGCAGGCGTGTGGCACACGGAGCCAAGTCCAGAAAAGTGGGAGCAACCCGCCGGGGTGGTGCTCACTGGACATTGTTGTTGGCGACACAGGGATCCACCTGGGCGACGGAGCAGGAAGCAGGTGAGGGATCCAGGCAGGTGATCCCAGATCCACCTGGCCCGTCCCGTGCCGGCGCCGCGCTCACCTCCGTGTACGTGGGGGGGGGCATGAACTTGAACTCGGGTGCATACATGAAGATGGGGCTGTCAAATCCATCGGGATCATCCAGGAGTGGTGTGGTGGGGCTTTCCAGCCGGTGATCCTCGGGAACAATGTCCAAGTAGCACGGGGGGGCTGTGGGAATGCAGGGAGGGATTGGTGAGCTCACCTGTGTGCAGCCCCCGAGCCACTTAGGGGCTCCCCACACTGTGATCCCACCACGCAGGGATCCCATGCTGTGGATCCTGCTCCACTCACCCTCTGGAGCATCTGGGAGGTTCAGGTCCACCCAGCTCATCTCAGAACTTGTCTGACTGGCCATGCTGGAGCTGCGGCTCCCAATGCCCGAGCGACTCCCAATGACCAGTGGCAGCTCCAGGATGATTTTCTTGGAGCCTGGGACGCTGACATAGATCTGCAGGAGAGCCGGGATTTAGGGGTGTTTGGGAAAGGGTGAAGACCCCCAGGGTAAGGAGGAAGATGAGGGGGAGGATGAGGGGATTCCCCACTCACCTGCAGGAAATACTCCACACGCAGAATGTTGCAGCCCAGGATAGAGGGTTTGAGCTTCCGCACACGGATGGTTTTGCCACGCCAGGATTCCGAGGTACCAGAGATGATGTGATTGCCACGAACACAGGAGAGTTTCTGGCAGAAGACCTTGGTCTGGCCATTGGCCAAATACGTGTGCTTGGCCACGATGGCTGCCTTGGGCACCACGATGCGCGAGCAGGTGTTCTCAAAGTCCGCATTGATACAGATCTCATCGCCTGCCAAGGAAAGGACCCAGACATTAGGCATGTCAGCAGTTTCCTTACTGATTTCCCCACTCCCAATTCCCTGTTCCCAGCAGTCCTCACCTTCACAAAAGCCCTTCCTGTCGATCTGGGCGCTCACAGACACACGTCCGTCCGGGATGAACATACATGACACTTTCTTCTCCTTCTTGGCTGCAACTGGAGACTGCAGAGAGAGGCAACGGTCACACACTGGCCCCATCCTGTCCTTCCCACCCTCCACCCTTCCTTCCCCTTTTGCAGCCAACCCTCCAATTCCCCTGGAGTACAGAACAGGCCCCGCCCAGTGTCAATTTCTGGAATTATCCAGAACTCCTTAATCTCACACTTAATCCCACTCAGGCCAGATCTGATTAAAGACACCTAGATGCCACCGGGTTGGGCTGATCCTCCCCAAGGGCTTTTCCCCCAAGCCTTTAGAGCACTTGGGGCTCACCAGCAATTCGGGGGTGTTCACATCCACAGGATCCATCACCTCGAAGCGTTTTTTAATCTGCTGTGTGGGGCAGGCCGGACGCTCCAGAGATGCCTTCACCCAGTAATCCACGCAGCCGTACTTCCCCTTGAACGTGGTGCCCAGTGGCCTACAGACATACAGGGGGTCACTCCAGAGCCCAAACATGGATTTTCCAATTTAATTCCATCCCCAGGGGTGGGTGCCGTCTCATACTCACCCCTGGGGCAGCTCGAAGCCAAATTTGTACTCATACTTGTTCCCAGGTCTCAGGATAACGGAGCCATCCTCATCTGGAGGACAGAAGGGGAGGGAAACATCAGATGGAGCTCCTGGGTGATCCTCCATTCTAAGGGTGTTGGGTAACATCTGTCCACACCCTCAGAACCCCGTGTTCTCTCCATGCTGCTCACTTCACCTCACCAACACCCCAAGCCCCCGGGGCAGAACACAGTGTCTCACGGGCTCCACCCCACCTCCAGCTCCCCCTTATCTCCTGGCTCCAGCCCCAGGGTGTGATCCTGTGCCACTCCCTTACTGTGCCACCAATGTTACCAACCCCTGTGGAGTCAAAACACACCACAGGAGTTCCCCAGGCTCTGATTTTGTCCTTTAGCTCCAAAACTTCAACTTGACTTGGCCAAACCTTCCAATGTTCCTACGTTTTCCTAGATTTGGTCATTTTTCCACAGCATCAACTCTGTCCTGGTGGTCAAGGAGCTCCACTAGGACCCACAGCACCAACGTGGCCAATCCCAGGGATCTGTGTCTTTGTCCCCTCCCAAACCCTCTGCCCCCATCCAGCCCCACCACAACCGCCATGTGGCCAAGCCCTGGGTCAGGGTTATGAACCGGTGTTTAAGGCAACCCTTTCTCCCCCTCCAGCCCCGTGTCCTCACCCGTGGGCTGTTCCTCAAGCGCCAGCACGTCCTCGAAGCGCAGGTACTCCATCTCCTGCCGGCACTGGGCCGGGCCCCTGGCCCAGGTCACCCTGGCCACGCCGCATGCCAACACCTTGACGGCGCTGACACGGGTCACCTCGGCCACCTCCACCAGCACACGTCCGGCCACCTTGTCCCCGCTGCAATAGACCTTGTCGGGCTCGCTGAAAGCCACCATGAAGCTTTTCACCTTCTTGAACATCACCATGGCTGGGACAGTACGGGGAAGCACAAAGCAGCGGCTGCGACGCTTTATCCCCGTGGAGCAACAAAAGTCGCCCGAGCCAAGCAAGTCCGGGGCAAAAAAAGCGACCGAACGCTTTGTTTTGAAGCGCTCCGAAGTCCCCAGAAGCCGCTCAGCCCCAGCACCTCAACGCTCTGCGAGAGCGGCTGCCGCCGCTGCCTTTTATAGGCTCGGCAGCCCCACCCTCCGCCGCCCGCGCCCGCTGCTGCCGGGGCCGCCACGCCGAGCGCGCGTGGCCAGGCGTGCTGCTCGCGTGATCAGCGCGCCCATTGGCTGCCGCTGCCTTGTTTACAGCAGCGCCGACCAATCAGAGCACCGGCTGCGGAGCGTGGACAGCGTGTGAAGGAAAGCCGCGCGTGTTCAATGGGGCGGGCAGGAAGGAGGCGGAGTGACAGCTAGGCGAGCCAATGGGGAGCGAGGACGGGAGGCAGCTGTGGCCAATGGCGAGCGCGGAACACGATGTCATGTTCCCAGGCTCGGGGGCGCGGGGGTGGTGCTCCCAGTTTCGGACAGGCCGTGTTGTACTGGGCGAACTGGGGGGGTGTGGGGGCTTCGCCCCCTTCGTCAGACTCCTTTCCCCCATCTAGGGCAGCCTCCTTCTTAAACCCCCCCCGCTAAGCTCTCCCTTGTTAATTGGGGTAAATAAGGGTGGATTTGGGGTACGGGATCGAACGTCACTGATCGAACTTTTCTGAGGAGGAAAGTCTGACTTTGGGGATTCCCTCCCTCCTTTTGGTGTGCTTGTGGGAGTGTTTCCACCACCTCTGTTGCTTCCCGTTCTGTTTTGGGGATACTTCCCACTCCTTCCCCAAAATATTCCTCCCAAATATTGATCCAAGGTGAAGCAGACACCCACATCAATTCCATAAACTGTGGCCCTGTCTTTCAGCTGGGATCTGGGGAGTGCGACAGCATTTTGCCTCCCCCCCAACCCCTTCAGGAGACTTTGGCTTCCAAGAAACCCTCAGATTTCACTCCCTGGATCAGCATTTCTCCAGGACAGGAACTGGCTCTTTCCCCCTTTCTTCCCAGCCCTTAGTGCTTTCCCAGCTCAGGAAAATGCTGGGAGCAGAGGAAACAGGAGAACAATGTTCATGGAACAACCCAGCACTGGAGGAATGGAAATGGGGGGGGCTCCCCACCATGATGAGGAACAGGGAGGTGTTTTTGTTGGGAGTTGTCCTTCAGAGGTTGTTTGTCAGAGTGCTCCTGGCACTTTTCCTGCCCTTCCATTGCCTCCTTCCCCCAGAGTTAATTCACACCTGATCGTATAAACCGATAAAGCACTGGATAAACCGTGGGGCATAAACTGTTCTCCTGCCAAACCACAGGACAGAATTCCTCCTTGAGAGGGAATTATTCTGTGGTTTGGTGCAGAATGGAGGAATTGCACCTTTTTTTTCCTCTGGTCCCCATTGTCTTCCACTAGGAAAAAGATGGTGGGTTAATGGAGAATTAGGGATTTGCTCTAATTTGGCAAAAGGTGGGGAGCTTTTTCCAGCCTTCCCTGCCATGAGATATTTGACCCCTTAGATCTGTGCTGGCGTTCCTGTCAGAGTCATGTTTACGCTCTCCCTCTCCAGTTCCCATCGGTGTGTGCCTTTCCAAGGAAACTGTCCCCAGCCTAGGGCTGCTTAAACACATTCCAGCAAAGCCAAAGGGCCTTGGAGCCCCACACCAAGGAACTTGTCAAGGATATGATCCAAGGCATGTTCCATATCCCAAATCCTCCCTAAATTCCTCCAGACTTGTCAATCAGTGCTGCCCTTTCCCCCCCTGCCCTCCATCTGATGGCAATCCCTCCCCACTCTCTGCTGCCGGAATTCCCTTGGGGGTCAGACTTGCTCCAGGAACTGTTCTCACACCGGCAGCACCCCTGGGTGGATCGGGGGGGGGGTCAGGAACACTGTGAGCTTTCCACTTGTACAGTGTCAGACCTCCTTCAAAATAAGAAAATCAGGAGAGAAATCACCAGGAGTTCTGGGCAGGGACAACCAACCTCCTGCTCTCACTAAACTGTTATTCAAGGCATTCATCCTCCTCCAAGCTGCTTTCCCATGGGATTCTGGGGCTCAGAGGATCCCCCACACTCATTTCCACTGCTGAAGGTGAATGGATGGGGAGAGTGGAAGGACCCATTGCTTTTTCCAGAGCTCCTAGCCAGGGGAAAGAGATGGCCAGGACAGTGTGACTAACAGCCTCAGAACATCCCACTTCCAAAGCCACAGAGCGAGAAAATGGGCCCTGGGGTGACTCACTGAGCTCAGGGTGGGTCCCGGGGAAGGAACTGGGCATGGCATAGATTTGTTTTTGCCAGCACAGCTCCTGGTGCTGATAAGATCCTTGTTTTTCTGCTCCAGGTTATCAGGATTGGTTTCCAGGAGAAGCCACGCTGCTCCTGTGACAGCCTTGGCCTTTGTCCTTGCTATCAGACAAGCAGTGTCCAGCTGGGATCGCTGGGAAGCCGGAGGCTGCTGGCAGCCCCACAGCTTCTCCGGGCTGTTTGCTGCATGTTTCTCACCTTATATGGTCTTTTCCAGCATATTCCAGGCTGGGAGGGGGCAGAGAGGGCCAGGGAAGGGATCCACAATGGCTGGAGCGTGAGGACAGAGTGTCCCGGGAGTGCAGTTGGGAGCTGGGGTGGAAAAGGCATTTCCTCTGGTTGTTTGTGTACAGGGAACATTGGGACTAGATCCCAGCTGGAAAACAAGGGACTATGGGACTGGGGTGGCTCCTGGAAAGCAACTGCTCGTCCCACACCGGGGATTTTCAGGAGTGGAGGCTCCAGAGTGGGGTCAGATCAGTTCCTAAATCTCAGCAGTGGTTTGGGGATGGGAGGGAAGGTTTCTAGTGCCTGCCTGGAGGCAGAGAATGATCAGCTATGGAGGATCACCAGGTAGAGAGGTTTGACATTGATTTTCTAAGAATGGCTCAGAAAGCTCTCAAGGCAGATTCCCACAGGGGATTCCCAAAAATTCCCCATTTTTGCTGTTTTGCCCCCAGCAGAATCTTTTGACCCCGATGGCTGAGATTCTCCAGGGACACGGATCGGGATCCCCTTTTCCTCTTCCCTGAGCAGGGACAAATCCTCTCAGGGCTTGCACAGGAGGGTTTTCCCCCTGAAGTCCCACTTTTCAAGCTCCCACTGGAGACTGGGATGTGGAAGCTCCCCCCACCTGGCAGTTTCTTCCCCTGTTTTTTGCCCAGAGGCTGTTTTTGGAGGAGGGAGGGGGAGATAAGGCTCCAGAAGAGCTCAGACATCTGTAAACAAGGAGGAATTCAGATCCTGGGTCTGCAAAGTCCCGTGTTTGTCATCTGCTCTGGCAGGAAGAGGCAGTGACATCAGCTCCACTCCAGCTGGGAGAGAGGGGCTTTCCCCAGCTGCTGGCAGAGCCCCTCAGACAGCAAAGGAATATGGAATTTTTCCTCCTTTTCAGCAGCCGAAGCTGCTCCAAGGCAGCAAGCAAGAGCTGGGACTGTCAAGCTTGGGGAAGAGAAGTGTGACTTGGAGCCATCTAGTCTCTGGAGGGTGGCCCTGCCATGAGCAAGATGATCTTTAAGGTATTTTCCAGCCAAAACTAATCTGGAATTCTGTGATTTTTTTGGGGTGAGGATGGACATCCTGGCAGTCTGGAGCTGACTGTGCTGGAGCCCTTCCTGTGTGCTGGGTTCTGTGGACACCTAGAGGCTTTCCCAGGAATGGCAGAGAATTCTCCATTTCTCCATCCATTTCTCCATCCATCCATCCATCCATCCATCCCTCCATCCATCCATCCATCCCTCCATCCATCCATCCATCCCTCCATCCATCCATCCATCCCTCCATCCATCCATCCATCCACCCATCCATCCATCCATGTTTCCTCCTCTCCAGGCCAGATTTTCCAGCTCTCACTCACAGCCTTGGAGCAGTCTTGGCTGCTGAGAAAGAGGAAAATGTCTTTATTCTTTTGCTGTTGTGAACTTTCCTGGCTGTGAACAGCTCCAGGGATGGTGTCCCAGGTGCGTTCTGAGTGTCTCCACCTCAGATGGGCCCTGTGACTCAGAGTCTTGCCCCTAGAGGAGGGGACTTAGGCCAATGCTCCCTGGACAAGGTGACCTGGCCCACTCAGAGCAGCTCACTGTGGGGCTGCAGCTCTGGCTCTGGTCAGGGCAGATATGGGATGTTACAGCAGGTCACAGGGCCACCACCTCACTCTGTCACAGGGATACCAGCTCCTCTGGACACCCTGCAGAGGTTCAAACCTGAGCTGTAGTCAGGCAGAGGTTCAGCCAAGTGGGGAGAATGTGCCAAGCATGGGATGGTCCTGGCCTATTCCCAAATTATTCCACACTACCCTTCCTCAGCACGAAGGAGACATGAGGTCTCTCAGAGCCGCACTGAGGCAGAGAACAGACCTCTTCTCCCACCCTGAATAGAGGAGCAGAACGTCGGCACCAGTCCAGGTTGTAGATGTCAACAAGCGTGTTTCCATTGACGTCAGCGGACTTTGGATCGACCCTTTCCCTCCCCAGCTGATAAAAACCATCCAGCTCCAACAGGAACCCACTTTGTGTGGTTCAGCATCCATGTGCCCAGCCTGGGTGGTTGGAGCTGAGGGGGTTCAGGGTAGTCTCCCAAGGGGCAGGACCAGGGGAAGAGGCCTCAAGGGAAGGTTTAGGTTGGATATTTGGGAAATTGTGTTCATTGGAAGGGAGGTCAGACATTGGAACGGAGTAATGATGGAGGCACCATCCTGGATGTGTTCAAAAGCAACTGGATGTTGTACCTGGGGTCATGGGTCAGTTGTTGTCACTTGGCAGTGCTGCGGGAGAGTTAATGATTAATGATCTCAGAGGTTTCTCCAACCTTAATGATTCCATAATTTATCAGCAACAGCTTCTCCATGTTGTAATCCTTTTGTCAGAAGTCTCCATGTTGGGCCACTCCTGGTGTAATTCTGGGTCAGGTGGAGCTGCTGAGCCTCAAACCAGGAATCAGAGCTCTCCAAATCAGGTGCATGTCTTTAGAATTCCTGGACATTTTCAGTTTGGGAGCTGCACTCTAAATTTCAGAGGTGGCTTCTGAGAATGGGTTGGCAAGGAAGGCACCAGGCCCAGTCCTGGTGGTGCTGTTCAGGAGGAACAGCTGATCAGCTGTTCAGGAGGAGGGGAAGTCTGCTTCCATTGGGAACCCTCCTTTCCCCATGGAATTCTTGCTGAATGGCTCTACTGGCCAACAACTAAAGGACAATTAGGTTCTGCATCATCAAATCCATCCCATTTCTATCAGGAGCTCCAGCACTACCAACGCTGCTCCTGAGGATTTTATCCCTACAGAGGATTTTATCGCCATGGAGAACGTTCTCCCCACAGAGTATTTTCTGCCCATGGAGGATTTTATCCCTCCACAGAGGATTTTATTCCTCCCCAGATGATTTTCCTCCCAAAGGGACATGTGGAGCACATCAGGAAGCAGCCTGCTTTCCTTGCTTCATTCCTGCTTCATTTCATCCACCCAAAGCTCTGGAGTCGAAGGAGCAGGGGAGGAAGGAGATATTATTATCTTCATCTGCCACTGCCGCCCAGCGACATGAAGAGACAGATGACAGGAAATGGGGACTCAAAAATAGACCCCTTTAATGTCAAAACCCATCAGGGATTACTAGGAGCAGGGTGAAAGACATGGAGCAGGTCTCCTGCTCATCACTGTGTGCTCCAAGCACCCATCCGAGGAATCTGCCATGATACCCATGAAATTATTTCCTATGTATTCTTTGTGCTTTTGGCACAAAAGAATAAAGAGAGAGAAAACCCCATGGATGTATTGAAACGTGAATTGTAGAACTTCCCTTGACGCAACCGCCATGCCTGGAGGGGCTGCAATTCTGTTTCCCCCATCTCCACAAGCCCTTCCTGCAATTCTCTGGGACAGGGATGGCCAAGTTTTTAATACTTTACTAAAAAATAAAGGAAAGTCTTCCCTATGGAAAAGATTTCTCCTCTAGAACTGCATCTGCCTTACTGAAATCCCCTGACATATATGAAATTTTCCATCCCCTCTGCAGTTCTGCACCTTACACAGGGCAGTGCCCTGCCCATCTCTGTGCCTGGCTGACTCTGCCATCAGGAATTCTGTTTTCCAAGCAAAAAATCCAGTTTTGCTTGGAAACAAAGTGACATTTTTTGATTTGTGCAGTGACAGAGAATCTGTGCCCAAGGGAGAGAATTCCCAAGGGGTGTTTTGTCCTCCCTGAAACCTGACACCGATCCCAAGTCCAGAGCTGGCTAAATTGAGTCCACAACAGGTGCCAAGAAAACAAGGAAAAATAGCAACAGTGGCCTGGGATATAGGAGGTCTCAAGCTCCACAGCTCCCACTGCTGGAGATCCACTTGTTATTTATCTTGGAAGAAGAGCATATAGCCAAAACTGGTGGATTTCTACTCAAAAGTCTCCCTGTTGGTCACATCGTTCCCCAAACTGATTTGTGGCCTTGCTCTGCTTTGGGAGGAGTGAATCCATTGTAAAACCATTATTTTCTGCTAAAAATTGGGCGTTGGCTTTGAGTCTATTATTTCTGGATCTGTAGGGTTCCTGAGTGGAATCCTGCCAGATTAACACCAGGAGAAAGGTGAGAAGTGAGTTATGGAAAGGCTCTGAGGGACAGAGGGGGTTTCTAGCCCAGGGGGTTTATTTGTCTTTGATGCACTGCAGTGTCACATCCTTAGGGGAAAAGCAACATTTCAGAATGGAAATTTGGATCTACCTGAAGGAGAGGAGCTGGGAACAGCTGCACCATCCATGTGAGACCAGTGGGTGCAAACCAGGGGTTCATCTCTCCCCTCTCCTGAGTCTCTGATTCCCTGTGGCTCTGGAGACACTTCCTTCAAGGTGAGGAATCTCTCCTGGCTGCAGCTCGGAGACAGCAGCTCTCACAGGTTCCCTATGGAACAGGCTGGGGTTAAAAGTGCAACAAAATAGCCCAAAGTCCACAGGGGAGGAGGAAGAGGAGGAGGAGAGATGATGGAGGGGTGAGTGGGCAGCCCCCCCCAGCTTGGAAGATGTGGAGCTTCTCGGCATCAGGCAGGAACAGCCGGGCATCCTCCAGTGCCCCGTGCGCTGCCATGGTAAAGTTGGCATCCCCCGAGGTCACCACGTCGAAGACACACGACTGGAAGTAGACATCCTCCACGGGCAGCATCTCCCGGCAGAGCGCTCGCGCTGTCTCCGCAGGGACACGGCCGCGCCCACGGAGGCTGCGGGACATGCGCTGGCTGTGGGGGCAGCCGCCCACGCACAGCTGCAGGTCCTGTTCCTCCGTGAAGGCCTGGGCCACCTCCTCGGCAGCACGGATGGAGAAGGACAGCTGGCGGCCAGCCTGGCGCACGGCGATGGTGGTGCCGATGTAGTCAGCACGGATCTCCACGTGCCGGCCGGGGCTGTGCTCCCGGATTGCCAGGCTGCTCCCACCTGGACGCGTGCCCCCGTTCACGGAGCCGTCCTGGAAGGCTGCCGGGACGTTGTCCAGCTCGGCCTGGTAGACCTTCTGGTCAATGCATTCCTTCATGTTCTTGAATATGATGGTCAGCTGTGGGGAGCAGGGCAGGAGGGGGATGAGCACGGTGGCCATGTCCCCATCCCAGGTATTCAGGGTATCCCAGGATGCTGGTCCCACCCCACCTATCCATCTTCAAACCACTCCTGCCACAATCCTTTTAGGATAACAACAGTCTTTCCTTCTTTCCTTCTTTTTTTAACACTATTTAAGCAATGGAAAACTCAGGTGGAGCCAAACCCAGCAAGATTCCTCCAGGTACCCCATGGACCACATGGTCACCTGACAGCAACAGGAGTGTTTGAGGGTCACCTCAACAACCTCCACCAATGTTGTCCCTTCTTCCTCATCTCCCCTACGTTTGAAGCAGTTCCAAGGATTTTGGGAAGTATTGGAGGTGCCCTGACTCTGGATTTGCTGCCTAGCCGGTGCGCTAACGTTACCTTGCTGGTGACTGTTGCGTTGGACCCTTTGGCCACCGGTGAACTGGTGGCCTGCACAAACAGGTAGTCATTGTCCAAGAGCGGCCAGGAGCCCTCCACCCGGCACGTGTGGAAGTCATTGTGGAAGGTGCGGATGTGGGGGTCCCCAAAGGCAGCACAGTGCTGGAAACCGGGGGGGCGGCCATGCTTGTAGAGGAAACTCCGCTCGTAATCACAGATGTCAATCGACTCGAAGCTGTGGGGGTTGGGGGCCGGGGGCTGGGGCCTTGGTAGGGCTGTGGGCCCTTCCTTGGAGCAGTTGTTCTGGATCATGAGGTCCTCGATGCCGTGCACAGCAGAGTGGAAGGCCAGGTCTCCACGGCAGGTGCGGGCAGTGCGCCGGGTGCACAGGGAGTAGGAGCGGAGCGCGGTGCAGAACGCGGAGCCGCGGTTGGGGCCGCGCAGGTGCAGCGTAGCCGCCACATACTCCGAGTTGCAGCGTAGGATCTTGCACTGGGAAGAGACTGGGAGAGACGGGACAGCTCTGTGGGAGAGGGGATGGGGTGGGGAAGGGCAGCCTCTCCTCCCCCCACCACCTCCCACCATCCAGCCTGCTCTGGATTCTCATGAAGATTCTTCCTGGAAGCACTTGTCTCCTGGTTTTTACAGGGAACAACTCTGCCCATGCAGATCCTTACCATGCCTGCAGAGGAGAAGGAGCAGGAAAGCTCGGAGGAAGAGGCTAGAGTTTTCCAGCTGCCCTGGGCTCCCACTGTGGGCAGGTCTCCCCATTCCCATCCATGCAGAGCCTGGGGGGTCTCTCACCCACCAGCAGCTCCCAGCTTCATTTGGCAGCTCCCCTGGAACCAGAGGTGGGATTGGGAGAGAGACCAGCAGATAGGACTAAGAGGGGCCCTGCAGCTGGCAGCAAGTTCAACCAAGCACTTCCAATGCTACCACTTGTCCCCCAGTGGCACATCGACATGGCTTTAAACACTTCCAGGGATGTGACTCCACCACTGCCCTGAGTAGCCTGTGCCAGGGCTTGACCACCCTTTTCACGGGGAAATTTTCCCTAATGTCCAACCTAAACCTCCCATGCTGCTGCTTGAGATGTTTCCTCACAGTGGTGGTGTTGAGCATTTCACTCCTCCCTCACTTTGGGGATACCACATGCAGAATCGGAGCCTGCAGCATCCCTGGGTGCCAGCGATATCCTTGGACCCTCATTCCTGCTTTCCTGCTGCCCCACTCACCTGTGTCAGCTTCCTCGGGGAACGATCTGGCTCCCAGCGCTGGGAGCTCCTTCCCTGCGGGACACATGGGCGTCCTTGTCACAAGCTCTGCCCCAGGTGAGAGCCAGAGAGACCCATGAGATGACGCAGGAAAGTTCCAGCCTCCCTGGGCTCCTCCATGGCCTCGCAGCTGGATAAAATCCGGGGTTCCACAAGCCCGTCCAGGGGCCAGGGAGTGGAGCCCCCCGTGGCTCTTCGTCCCCAGCCACCTTTGCTCCGTCCTTTCCCCTGCGGGGCAGAGGCAGGAGTTGAAATCGATCCTCCTAAATTTAGCTGGGCTCTGATCCAGCCAGGAGCAACAGCCGGAGTGTGGAGAAGGTGGGGCACAGGAGCTCCAGGAGGAGGCGGGAGTCCCCAAACCCTGTGGACTGTGGGGTCATGTCACCCGTGGGAGCTTCCCTGGAGCTCCATGGGTTTTCCTCCTTGGAAAGCCTCTGCCTGCAACCCGCGAGAGCGAGTCCCTGTGGAAAAGCACCATGCTTTGCCCTGTGGAATGTGTCCAATAGGGAATGGGATGTTTCCTGACAGGGAATGCTTTCCAGCATTTTCTCTCACAGCCTGCCCTCCCGGGGCACAGCCAAGTCCTGAACACAAACATAGCACAGGCCAAAGTTGGCCAATGTCCCCAGGGATCGATGACTGCCAGATCATGCTGGCTGCACTCCTGAAATCCCACCTACACAGGTGCAGGAAGCAGCTGCACCATCCCCTGCTCCCTGCAAGGAGGAGGAATGGTCAGGAATGTCCACACCAGGATTTTTCAGGTCCATTCCAGAGGCCATGGAGGAGGACAGGGATGGGAAGTTGGTCCCTCAGCATTCCAGCACCCACAAATCCCTCTGGGAACACATTCAGGGAAGCCTTCTGCCGCCTAAACCAAGTTCCTGCTGTTTTCCACAGCCAGCTCTGCCCTGCAGGGAGCAAAGCCTAGTGCCCAGCAGAGATACAGCACTGGCACTGAGGTGGGAAGAGAAGTATTTGGGGAAAGCGGCATTTGCCAGAGAGCTGGAAGAGTGGATCCCTCTTCTTTCCAGGATGGGCCATGTGCACAATCAATCCCAAAGGATGTACTCTTCCTTCCACACCATGCTTGGCATAAATCCCATCCCTCCACCCCCACACCTCTGCCAATGATCCCAGCACTCCACTTACCCTGGCAAATGCCACGGGATGGGCACCAAATCACCCTAGACCCTCCAGAGGAAAATCCTGGTCCCCTTCAGCCTGGGTCTGGCTCCGGGTGGGAATGAGGAGGAAATCCCGGCTGTTGCCACCCAGGCTTGGAGCAGAGGGAGCAAAAAACAGCTGAAGATTCTGACAGCCGGATCTGTCACTGGGAGCGGGAGCTGAGTGGGCTCCGACAGCACTTTAAAAATAGCTGGTAGGATTTTTGATCCCAAAAGGCGAATTCCAGTGGGGAGGGGAAGGGAGAAGGCAGGGAGAGCCAAGACTTACCAACTGCACACACAAGTGGTGGGTGAGGTGGACATGGAGCCCCTCAGAGCTGCCCATGCTGAGCTTTCTCCAGGCTCTGGGAGAAACAAACAGGTTGGCAATGCAAAGTGCTACTGGAAATCCAAGGAGGCTCCCATTCCATCAGCACCTGGCATTGTGCACCCCAGCAGGTGAGCACTCCCCTTCTGGCTCTGTCAGAGATGGGAAAACCCACGGAGATGTGTGGTGTCCAGTGGGACTTCTCCTCTGAGATTCTCCATTCCAGAGTTTTCCCTTTCCCTCCCTTGGAGAGCTTGGGAGGTCCTGGAGAGGGACCGACATTGGGAGAGATGGATATCCTATGCCTGGAAGACATTGAGAGAGGTGGGAAAGGAACCACCTGGCTCAAAGGTAGGACCAAAATCCCACAGGGCCCCACCTGTGTGAGCCGCTCCCAGGATACTGGCATGTGGATAAATCCCATCCCCAAGCACCTGCGCTGGGGCCGGGCAGCTGGGGGCTAAAAACATCCAGAGCAGGCGGAGCCAGGCACTCCTGAGCTCTGTGGAGAGACCCCGAGAGGTCTCCAGCGCTGGGCGCAGGACCCCATGACTCCCCCCCGTCTCTCCCGCGCACCCCCGCGCACAAGTGGTTCCGCCCACCGATGCCCACATAAGGATAAAGTGGGGCGGGGTTTCCTGGGGGGCGCGTCCATTGCGGAGGGGGCACGGCCTCCGAACGGTTTCATATATGCGCTGGGGGTCACGTGACGCCGCTCGGCCGGGGTCACGTGACGGCGGCGGGGCGACCCCGGGCGGCGTGACCGGAGCGGGCGGTGAGAACCGGGAACCGGGGAGGGGCCCGAGGGAGATCGGGGGGTCCCGGCCGGCACTGGGGACTATAAGAGGAGCTGCTCGTCCCAGGGGGTGTCCTGTGGAAGAATCGGGGGGCTCCCGACGTGCGTTCCACGGGGTTAGGGGGGCTCTGGCCGCACCCCCGGCTTGAGGGGGGCCGGGCCCTTCTCTCCTTCTGAGCCTCCTCCCCAGCTGCGAGCCCGAAAGCTCCTCTGGACCCCCCCTGCGACCCTCTCTGCCGTTCCCGGGTCAGGAGCTGGTCCCGCAGGGCTCCCCAGATTCGCCACCCCCAGCACCCCCTCGTTCCCCCTTCTGCCGCCCCCAGTAACAGCGGCTGACCCGGCAGAGCCGACTCAACTCACCCCTCCGTGCTGCCCCCCTCCTGCCATCCCCACTTTCCATGTGGGATCCTCCAGAGAGCCTCAGTCTCACTCCCTGCTCCCCCCACTGCCCTCTCCTCGAGCCTCTTCCCCCTTTCAGCTCCCCCAAACCTCCTCCTCAAACTCCTCCGATGCCGGGGCCTCTCGTGGCGGCCGCGGTCGGCCGGGAGAGCCTCTCTCCCTGCAGCCCCCCAACTCACCCGTCTCTTACAGCCCTTCTCCGATGCGGGGTCCCCTCCTGGCGGCCGCTGGGGGGGCCATGGGGGGCGCGGGGGGACCCCTGGCCCGCACCATCCGCGCCAAGCTGACGGCGGCTCTGCAGCCCACTCACCTGGAGGTGCGGGACGACTCCCCCCGCCACGGGGGTCCCCCCGGCGCCGAGACGCATTTCGGGGTGCTGGTTGTGAGCGGGCGCTTCGCGGGGCTCCCCCTGCTCCAGCGGCACCGCCTGGTGCACGAGGCGCTGCGGGCAGAGCTGGCCGGGCCCCTGCACGCCCTGCAGGTCATCGCTCGCACCCCCCAGCAGTGGGAGAGTGACCCCCAAGCCCCCCCCGCGCCCCCTTGCCTGGGGGGCTCCAAGAGGGAGCAGCGCCGCGGGGACGGGGAGAAGGAGCAGGAGGCGCCGGGGCAGCAGTGACGGCCCCGGAAGGCCCCCAGGAACAGTTCGGGTCTCCCGGGACCCCCACCCCGGTGTCAGCGCAGCAGATGGAGCCTGGAGTTGGGAGGGGGCAAAAGTCCTGGGGGTGACCCCGCCCCCATCATCCTCTGCCCCAGTCCCCGCACCCCATACCACCCCCAGCCCCCTCTCCCCAACCTGGACCCACCCCCCTGCTCCCATCCTGTGGGGGATTTTTGGGGCGTCCCTCCCATTTAATGTCTGAATCAATTTAAATAAACGTGTTCTGCGGGCAGCTGAGTCTGGAGAACCCTTGGTGGGAGGATTTGGGTAAATTTTATGCTTTTTTGGGATGTTTTTTCCATTTTAATTAATTTACAAACACCTGAAACTACAGCACGGCACAACAGAGCTACAGGGGGGCCGGGGGGGCCCCAAGGACCAGCTACATCAAGGAGGGGACAAAGCACACGGGGGCTGCTTGGAATGGGAGGGGGCTGCCCGGGGGACAGGGAGGCTCCTGGGTGGCTCTGACCGACCCTGCCCAGCCCTGGGGCTGATCAGGTGGGGGGGCAGAGCATGGAGGACCCCCCCAAACCCCAGGTTTGAGGGGCACAGCACTGGGACCCCCTTGAAGCCCAGATTCTTTTGAGGAGGACACAGCACTGGGGACCCCTTGTACCCCGATTTTTTGGGGGTAGGGGCTGTTTGTGCTTTGCAAACCGCTGGTGGTTTTGGGCCGGGAGGAGGTAAAAGGGGGTGGAGGGGTTAAAAGGGGATGTGGGGGGGACATGGGTATGCAGGGAGGGAAAGGGGCTGGGAGAAGGAAAAGAGGGTGCAGGGAGCCTCCTGCACCCCCCCCTCACCCACACCTGCCTCCCTCTAATAGGGAAAATCCTTTAAAAATCAGTTAAAAATCACTAACTGGCAGTTTTGGGGGTCCCCCACTGCTGCACCCCAAATGAGACCAAGGGCTGTGGCTGGGGAAAGCTGTGCTTTGTACCCTGAAAGTTGGGCACCCAAAAGTGGGGGCATCCTGGGGGAAGGGGGGCATGTGCTTTAAGGGGGAGCACCCTAAGATTGTCAGGCAGCCCCAAGGGGATTCTTCACCCTCAACTGCTGCACCCCCCCACAGAGACCTGCACCCCAATATCCTGTGCCCCCCCAGGGCATTGCTGAGGCACCCCAAGGGCTCTTGCTCCCCAAAAGGCTGCCCTCTGATGCCCCCCAAATCCATGGGGGTTTGGAGGACCCTGCTGGGTGCCCTCCACAGGGATGGGGAAACTGAGGCACAGAGCCCCCCCCACCCCCACCCAGAGACTTTATCTTCTTCCTCCTTGGCTTGGCAGGGATTTGGGGGATGTACAGAGATAGGTGGGTTCAGAGAGCCTGTGTCATCCCCCCCCCAGTGCCAGGGCCCCCCCTAAATCCGGTCCCACAGCCCCCCAGGAACAAGCAGCAACTCACATAGGGGGTGACACCAAGAAAAGAAATAGGGGGGCTGAGGGGGGTATTGGAGGTTGAGGGGGGTCAGGGAGTCGGGGCTGAGTTTTGGGGGCCAGGGGAAGTTTGAGGTGTTGGGGAGGTTTTGGAGGTACAGAGGGATCCGGGGGGGAGGGGTCCAAGTGCAAATGAAAAAGATCCCAAATGCTCCAAGAAGACGTTTCACAGTGTCTAACGCGACTAATCCCAGGGGCACGAGGGGGGGAAACGCTGGAGTTGGGGGGTGCCCCGGGGAGGGGAGTTCCCTCTCCCCCAGCCCCCCATCACTGCAGGACCTGCCCCCGTGTCTCGGGCAGTTTGAGGGCCAGGGAGCTGCCGAGGGCCAGCGCGGCTGAGGCAAACAGGATGGGCACGGCCTTGGTGATGCCCACAAAGGACGTGAAGATGCTGATGCCCAGCACAGCCGCCAGCTTGCACAGCGCGTTCAGGAACCCAAACGCCGTCGTCCTGGGGAGGATGGGGAGGGCTGGGGTCAGTGGGGGCACCCCCGGGGGTAGGGGTGGGTACCCAGCCTCGGGGGACACCAGCAGAGGGCAGGTGGTACCCCAAAATAGGCATCTGGAGGCCTGAAACGGGCACCTGGCACTCCAAAATGGGAACTCAAAACCCTTGAATGTGCATCAGTACCCCAAAAGGAGTAACCAGCAGCCCAGGGCTGGCAGGCAGCAGCCAGAAGCAGGTACCAAGCAGGTGGTAACCCACACCTGGCACTCAGCACCCCAAGACCTGTACCCAGCAGCTGGTACCTCAGGTCTTGCACACAGCATCCAAAACTTCCCGACCGGGATGCCACATGCTTCACCCAGAACCCCAAACTCTCCCACCTGGCACCCAAAACACTGCCCCCAGCACCCAAAACCTCCCACTTGACACCCAAAAACCTCCACATCTGGCACCCAGCCCCTAAATCCTCCCACCCTACACCCAAAACCTCACCCCCGGCAATCAAAACCTCTCACCCAGCACCCAAAACCTCACTCCTTGCAGTCAAAATCTCTGTTCCAGGCCCGCACCTCTTGTCAGAGGGGTACAGCTCCACGGTGAGCACGTCGAGCGCATTCCAGGAGGCAATGCTGACCCCCCCAAAGAGGCAGAGCAGCGCAATCATGGCAGACTCGCTGTTCCCGAAGGACAGGAAGAAGCAGCTCACGCAGGACATGACACTGGAGCCAGCTGCGGGACATGTGGATGTGTCAGAGCACAGGGAAACTGAGACAGGAGGTGGGACTGGGAGGGGGGGCTGGCAGTCCCAAGAGAGAGGGAGATGGGGGTGACCCACCAGGAAGGACAGGGAGGTCCCCAAGAGATAACAGAGGTGGAGGTGACCAGCAGGTGGGAGGAGTATCAGGAAGGTCCCAAAGGGGTGATGGAGGTGGGGTGACCCACTGGGGTGGTCCCCAAAAGGTGATGGTGATGAATGATGGTGGGAGGTGGGTCAGAAATATCAAGAGCCTGCTTTGGGCTGGAAGGCACCTCCAGGACCCCTCCCCCACCCCTGCCAAAGGCAGACCAGCTGTCCCGAGCCCATCCCATTGCCTACCCAGCATGCGCAGGCGGCCAATCTTGTCCATGAGCAGGGCCGAGACGATGTTTCCAGGGAGCACAGCAAGGGTGCCCAGGAAGCTGACAAAGTAGATCATGTAGGCGTTGTTGTCGTCGCTGAAGTCCAGCTGGCAGCCCTCCTTGTTGTGCAGGAACGTGCTGTTCAGCACCCGGCTGTTGATGAACTTGTACTCAAAGAGATCTGGGGGAAGAGGGGGCCATGGGGTCACCTCATCTCCTTGCAGACCTGCCTGGCCCCTCCCACCTGGGGCGGGTCCATCACACCCTTACCACCCCAGTGGGTCACGTTATCACCCCAGCTCCATCATGCCACTGGGGACTTTTCTGATCCTCCTCCAACCTGGTGGTTCACCCTCATCTCCATCAAAACCCTGGGGCCACCCTGGTGGGTCACCCCTTCCAACCACGTGGAGATCCCATTCTCCCACCTGTGTTGTAGAAGACAGTAGAGATGAAGGTGCAGTTCTTGAAGAAGGTGTTGCTGGAAGTGATGTCCTCGAAGTAACACTCCTCAAAGAGCGAGTCCTCAAACGTCACCGACTTCATTTTCAGCCCGATGAACCTGCACAGGGGGACAGAAGGGAGGCCTCAGATGCCCCCCACTCCTGTGCTGAGCAGCCCCAGGCTCAGCAACGCCACACTCAGCCTCCCCTCACTCACTTGTCATTGAAATACTCCCCGCCACGGTGCACTTGGTTCTCCAGGGTGAAGTTGAAGGTAAAGTGCCGAACCTTCTCACGCGTGAAGAGCTTTGTGCGTGACGCGTACTCAATGCTCTGCAGGTGCTTTATCATGTCCGGGAACCACACGGTGAGCCCATAGTAGCTGCAGAGAATGGAGTGAGTGGGCACCACACACCTGGGGTCCCCAGTGCTGGCCCAGGGCTCCCAGGGCCAGCCTGTGCTACCCCAGTGACGCTTGTTCCATCTCATCCCGCTCGGTGCTGCCCTGTCCCGTCCCATCCTGCCCCATCCTGCCCCATCCAGCGCTGTCCATCCCATGCCAGTCCCACCCTGCAGCACCTGAAGGACATGGTGAACCACACCGCCATCATCATTAGTGTCACCCGCCGGTACTCAGGCACAAAGCACTGCTGGAAGTTGCTCCAGACCTGCGGAGGGACATGGGAGGTGACAAGTACATGGGAGGTGACAGGGGGCACATGAGGCACAGGGACCCCTGGGCGGCTCCAGCCTCACCTGCTGGGACAGGTTGAGACATCGCACCAGCCAGCGCCGGTACCATGTCCCGGTGTCCGACTGGATCTCGATGAGCTCGTCCTCCCGCTTGATGGTCTTGATGTGGGTGACCTGTGGGTGGGACCGTCTGGGGACACCAGGAAGCACAAGGGGCCTGCCTTGTGCCTCAGTTTCCCCACCTGTTACAGCAGCACTGCATCCCCCGGGTGGTGTTTTTCCCAAAGGTGGGAATTGCACCCCTGCTCCTGGAGGACACCCCACCCTTGCTTGGGGTGTTGGGGACCCCAGGGCTCAGCCCCAGGGGGCTCCTTACCGAGAAGACCCTCTCAGGGTGGCCCTTGGCCCTCATGTTGGTGTCATGGACCTGCTTCAGCACCATCCAGGCCTCGTCGTGCTTCCCATTCTGTGAGGGCAGGCACAGGTCACCCTGGGACAGCCCAGACCTGGGCCCTGACCACCCCATTAGCAGTCCCTGCCTGGGTTCCACCACCCACCTGGGTCCTGCAGCCACCCGGGGATCCCTCCACCATCTTCATCGCCTCCTCAGGGTCCCCCATCCCTCTGGGGTCCCTGGCTGGGTCCCATCATCCACTTGGGGGTTCCTGGTCAGTTCCACCCCTCTCCAAAACCCATCTGGGGCTTCCTCTCCAGGCCTCACCACCCCCACAAGGGTCCCTGTTGGGGTTGCCCCATCTCCGCCCCACCTGGGGGTCCCTTCCTGGGGACCCTCATGCCCCCCTCCACTCCAGGTCCCTGATGCACTCCAGATTCCCCCCAGGACACAGCCATGGCCTCCCAGACCCCCACCTCAAGGTAGAAGCGCGGGCTCTCGGGCATTGTGGTGAGCGCCCCAATGGCAAAGACCGAGGGGAAGGCGCAGACGAGGACAAAGACCCTCCAGCTGTGGAATTGGTATGCAGAGCCCATCTGGAAGCTCCAGCCTGGACAGGGACAGGACATGGTGGTGGGGCCGAGCCCCGGTGCACCCCCTGTGCGCCACCGGCCCAGGGCTCCTACCATAGTGGGGGATGATGGCCCAGGCCATAGCGGAAGCGTAGATGCCCCCGATCATCCAGAACATGCAGAGCCAGCTCAGGTGCTCCCCGCGCTTCTCCTGTGCCAGGAACTCCGAGAAGTAGGAGAAGACGATGGGGATGGAGCCGCCGATGCTGGGGATGGAGGGGAGGAAGTGGCATCACCCCCCGCCCCACACCCCAGCACACACAGGGGGGAGTCAGCCCCAGCTCTGGGGGTCCCTCTGCGGCTGGGCCCCCCCTTACCCCACGCCCGAGAGCAGGCGGCAGAAGAGGAAGGTGCCATAGCCCTGGACGAAGGAGGAGAAGAAGGCGAAGACGCTGTTGACGGAGAGGGAGATGAGGAGGCACTGCCTTCGGCCCAGCCGGTCGGCCAGCCCGCCCCACACGAACGCGCCCACCATCATGCCCAGGTACACGATGAGTCCTGGGGAGGGGGACACACAGCGAGGTCAGGCCCGGGGAACCCAAGGACCTGCACCTTGAGTCACCTGGAGGAGGGAGAGCATCCTCAGCACTTGGGGTGGGGCATAGGCAGGGACCCTCTCCTCGAGACACTGGGTCCCCTTGAAAGGAGGGGACAGAATCCCATGTCAATGCGTGGTGGAGGTTGTCCCCCTGCTCTGCTCAGGGACTGTGGGACATGGGGGGCAGATGTGCCTCCAGGACCCCCACACCCAGCCCCTCCCCCTGCCCCAAGATTGCCAGATTTCAGGGATGGGGGGGCACTGGTACCCCCTGGGATTTTGAGGGGTGTTGGGCTCTGGCAGGCATCACAGAGAAGAGGGAAGCAATCGAACAAAGCCCCCCGTGGCCCCCCAAACCCAGTCTCAGCATCCACTAATTAGCCCAAGTTTCTGAGCTCGCTCCCCGCGGCTGCCCCTTGCCATTGCTCATGTGGGGACCAGCGTGGGACTGGGAGGAGGATGGTGGGAGCCCTATGCCCAGAGGGTCCTGCATCCTTCCTTGTCCCCACATCCCTTCCTGGACCCCATACCTCACAGCCTCCTGGCACCCAGTTCTTCCTGTGCTCTACCATAACTCCTATGGCCCTCCACATCTCCCTGAGCCCCACCATGTCCCTCTCCATCCCCAACTCCCTGTGTCCCCACCCTCCTGTGCTTGTCTGTCCCCCAACATGTCCTCATGTCCCCCTGCATTCCACACGTCACTCTGTATCCCCACGTCCCCCATGGGATTCCCTCCACATCTCACCGCACCTCCTGCGTGGAGAGTGCCCCTTCCATGTCGCCCTGACCCTCCCCTATCCATGACTCCCACGTGCCCCTACCTGGCCCCCCGTGCCCCTCTCCTCACCCAGCATGCCCTTGTTGGAGTCGGAGAGGCACATATCCTTCTCGGCGCTGGGTAGAACAAAGCCCACCACAAAGACCTCGACGCCGTCAGCCATGAGGGCCAGGCCCAGGACAAAGTAGAGGGTCCACTGGAATCGGCCGTGGCCACATTCCTGCAGGATGAGCTCGTACTGCTGCGCCAGCTCCTCCCGGTCCTTCCTCCGCTGCCCCTCGCTGTCGTCAAAAGCGCCGGCGGCCGCCGCGGCCCCCAGGCGCTCCCCGCCCTTCAGCGACTCCTGCCGGGGGATCCCTTGGTACTCGCCCTCGTAGATTTCATCCTCCTCGTCGTGGCCTTCAGTGGCGTCGCTGGACACCCCCTCCTCCTCGTTGGCCCCCTCACTCCCCCGGTAGTAGCCGTCCTGGGGCGCGTAGTCTTCGTCGTCCTCCTCCTCCTCGAAGCGGGAGTAGGAGCGCCGGGTGTACTCGTCCTGCACTCGGTCCATGCCCCGGCTCACCTTCTTGGCGGCGTGCTTCTTCACCTCCTTGGCAATGTCCTTGGCGCCGCGGATGAACGCGGTCCGGTCCCGGAACGATTCGTCCATGGTGCCGGCGGGATGGGATGCAGCGCTGAGGGTGCCGGGGGTCTCTGCGTCGGGGGCTGTGCCCTCAGGCCCGGGGTGCGGGGACAGGGGTGACGGCGCTACCCATCCGTGGAACGGGGTGTGGGAGGACCCTGGACTTGGACCTGGGAAGCCCAGACACAACCAGGGCTGAGGTTGAGTGGTAGTGGCCCTGCGTTCCACCTTGCGCTTTTCTCCGTCTCGGATGGAAACAGGAGGATTTCGGGACCCCCCGGTGAAGTGGCAGGCGAGTCGCCACGGGGTGCAGTGGGGGCTGGAGTGGGACAGGCTGAGAGACGCTGGCTCCATGCCAGTCCCCTGCCCCTCACCTGGGGGACTCCAGCTCCCACCGTTCACTGGAACCCCCCGGTCCTCCTGGATCCATCCCTTCTGTATTCATCCCAAAGGATAGGGGGAGCTGGGGGGGAACCAGGGGCACGGCTGTCCCTGAGCATCCCCAGTCTATCCCCCTATGACCACGAGTCTCCCGGAAAAACAAGGCCAACAGCAAGTCCGGGCTGAAGCCCCCCATTTCCTCGGGCACCACAGAGAGAATGAGGGGATCAGCCCCTGAGGGCAGGGAGGTCCCCAAACCCTCCCAGTGCCGCCAGTACCCCAGTTGGACAGTTCAAGGTCTGGTACAGGAGGATCCCTCAGAGGATCCCTTGTGGGGGGGGTCCCTTGAGTGACAGAGACCTGCGCGTGCCGGGCCACGCTCGCTGCGGAAGCTGCCAGGCAGGATTTGCTGCGGGAGATGCCAGCACCAGCAGATGCTGACCCGGCCAGAGGGGGCTGGGGGTACCAAGAGTCTCCTGGGGCCCAACCCTGGGGTAGGTGAGGGGCATCCAAGTACCTGGTGTCTCCTTTTCTGCTTACAAACCAGCGTCCCACCCCCTCTTCCCCAGCCCAGCGTCCCCACACCCACCACACAGAGCCCACAGAGCTCGTGACGGGGATGGACCCGCAGCCCCCCAGCCCGATGCTGCTGCTCCACCCGCAGGGGCCATCGTGACCCCCCCAAGTGCTATTTTTATCACTGGCGAGGCAGGAAGGAGCTGCGGGCAGAGGGACGCAGCCGGCGACGTATCCTCCCCTGCCCAAGCAAGGGGACAGGGCACGCAGGGACGCTAAATTTAGCCCTTCAGAAACCCTGGAGGGAGGGGGGCTGCGGCACAGCATAGACCCCCATTCCTGAGCAGAGCCAGGCAGGTGGTTCTACAGGATAAAATGGCAAATACACTCATGTCCTCCCCTCCGACTGGAGGGAGACCCCAGTCCCCTCCCTGGGCATCCCGTGGGCATCCCGAGGCTCCTGGAAGGGGCTGATGCGTGACCAAGGTCATTTTACTCCAGCCAGGCTTGCAGTTCCCTTTGGAACCTCCCAATGTGGGGCCGGCACTCCACAGACCAGGAGGTATTGGGGGCCGGCAGAAGGAATGGGGGAGCAGGGAGAGGCTGGGTGCACAGTGAGGAAGAGGATGGGCTGGGGAGCAAGGTCACTGCTGGCTCTGTGACAGAGAGTGGCCGTACAAACCAGGGAGCCTTGAGGGGCCAAGCCAACACCAGGAGTCAGCACTGGATGAGATCAGGGGTTTGATCCCACAGGAGAGCCAGAAATCCCTCAGACCACAGTCCCTGAAATGCAGGAGCCAGGGAGGTCCCCAAAAATGCCCGTCTGGGGGCTGAACATGCTGCCGGCCCTGCAACCCCGTCGTGGTATTGGACAGCTCTGGACAAGGTTATCGGATCTGGATCCGTCTCCTCCTGCCACGCATCCAAGCGGAGCCAAGGATTGATGCAACCATGCACATCAAAACCCCCGGGATTCCCACGCTGGGGGTCTGCATCCCCCCTGCAGCCCCCAGCCTCCCTGCGGAATGCCAGGAACATGGCGACAAGGGGGGAGAGTTGGAAATCACTCATGTCCAAGGTCACCCCCCAATACCCCCCCTTCTACCCCTTCCCCAAAACCCCCAGGTTCCCCCCTCCCATCCCTGCGGTGAATTCCCGATCCCCTCCGGCTGCTCTGCGGCCACAGGACGGCGCAGGGGATGACAGGGGCCCCCAAAAACGCACATTCAAAGGCAGAGCCGGGCTCCAGAGAAGGTTTTCCAGGACAAAATGGCCACAGCAAGTGGGAAGGGGAAGACGAACCCCGAATCCATCAGCGGCCTTGAGGACACCGATTAACGCCGCGGGGAGGGGGGATGTGGGGTATAAACCCGTTTTGCTCCCCCTTACCTGGCTCAGCCCTCGCCCCACTCCAGCTTCAGCTCCTCCGGCGCCGGCGAGGAGGATCTCCGGCTAGGAAGGATGCTCGGGAAGGGATACGGAGAGGAAAGAGGATGATGCTCCGGCAGCGACACGGCGCGACAGCAGCTCCCGAGTACCAGCGCTACCGCCGCAGCCTCCGCCGCACACACGGAGCGCTGGGAGAGTCCATCGGCGCAGCCCCGGGAAGGGAGGGATCAACCACGGCACGCGGCGAACCGGGGGGGCTCGGCGGGGGAGGGGGGCTCGCCCCACGGGGGGGGGCGATGGAGCTCCCGGGATGCGCCAGCGGAGCTCCCACGGGGTCGGGGTTCCCGTGGTGGAGCTGCTGGGATGGACCCGCTCCGCAGGCTGCGGGTGGCGGGGAGCGCTGGTGGGAGTGGGGCATGAGCCGGTGGCCCCCCCGGATCCCTCGGCGAAGCTCAGCCCACCCCCCCGCCACCGCCCCCGTCACGGCTGAGTCACGGCCTCCACGGGGCTGGATTGGGATTTTTTTGGGATCAAATCATCCCCGCCTGGGCTGGCCAGACTGGGCCCCGAGGCTACAACACGACACAAAAGCCCCCGATAAATTTTTTGGGGGGGGGGGGTACGGCTGGAGATGCACATGGCCAGGATGGTATGTCCAAACCGACCCCCATTTCCATGAATGTCTTCCTGAGGGCTGGAAACTGGGACCCACAGTTCTCCAACCCCATACCCCAGGGCTATGGGGTGCTGGGTGCTCCTGGGACTGGCTGAGCTCAGACTGGAGGTCCCCACACAGCAAGCAGGACTGGGGGTGCTCCCAGAAGCAAGATCTTCCCTGAGGCCCCTTCACTGAAATTCCAGTGCTCCCAGAGCCCCTTCATCCTGCCTCTCAACATTCCCAGAGTCCCAACCTTCCCTGAACCCCATTCCCCCTGCAGCCCTGCAATGAGCTGACCTAGTCCCAGCTTCCAGGGCGTCAACCCCAAAGCCTCACAATCTGTCAGGATCCATCAAGGTTAGCACTTTCACCCCTCAGACTGGAAAACAGGGATGGGAACCAGTCTGCACTAGTGGTGCCAGCACAGGGAAGGATTTAGAAACCCAGGAGCTGAGAAGCAATTGTGACATTCGTTGTTGGAAAAAAACCTAAAAGGGGGATGGAGTGCAGGACAAGGCTGTCAGTCAAGGAGCATCCCCAGGAAATGGACTGCACCAGGATCCATCCAGGCTGTGCCCTCTGGAGATCAAGCACCCAGTGAACCCCACCCCAGGGTGCCACCTCCTCAGGCCCCCAGTGACTCATGTGCCACTGGCACCACAGAGCTCCACATCCCCTGCTTGGCCCAGGGTTTTTTGGTGGATCATCAGAGGGAACAGGCTTGGCAGCAGGACAGAGAATGGCTCCTCCCGTCCCAAGGGCCTCATCTGTATCTGCCATGGCCTGAAACACGGGGAATGGGATAGAGCTGAGGGGAATGCGATAAAAACAGGGGGATGATGGGAGAAAGTGTGGGGGGAATGGGATAAAACGGGAGAAAAAGGGAGAAAATCAGGGCTGACAAGCAACTACAATCAGGGGAAAGATAGGATATAACTGGGAATGACAGGGTAACACCAGGGATGACGGGATAAAACCAGGGGTGACAGTGGATAGCTCCAGGGGAGAAGGGAATGATTGTGTCCATGCAGGGAGATTGGCTGCCCTGGGTGGATTCCGGTGGCTTCCATGACTGAGCAGCAGAGAAATGCCACCCTGGGGCTCCCTGGATGCAGACAGGAATCACTGGATTCTTTGGATACTGGAGATCTCTTAAGCCCCTTGGCTCTCAGCACCACAGGGAAGCCTCATTTCCACACCACATATCCCACCCTTACACCTAAATCCACTCGCTCTACCAATCCACGTGGGATTCTCCCCACATTCCCAGATGTGAAGGATCAGGAGGGCGTTCCAACCTTGTCCTTCCCTTCCTAGCCCATCCAGACCCCAGGACTTCCTACCTGGATGTAAGGCAAAGCGCAGCCTCGGCACAGAAGATGATGCTGGGATGAAGGAAGGAAGCAGCACATTCCCACTTTCCATGTCCCCCCACAAACTCCCAGCTCTTGGAGACTCTGGCACTGCCCAGGGGCAGGAGAAGGCATTTGTGGACCCCCAACCCTTTGAAGATTTCCCATGGGAATGTTTGACTTTGGCTAAACCTTGGCACCAAAATATTCCACAGCCAAACCTCAGCTCCCTGGATGTGGGCAGCGATGGCTCAAGAACAGAAATCCAGACATTCCTACGGAGCAGCTGAAGAGAGCACACAGCTCTTCCAGGCTTACTGGTGGAGCAGGGATCAGACCATGGACCAGCTCTGCCACTCCTCAGGCCCCAAATCCCTCCAGCCTGGTTCTTCCCAGTGGCCCAAGCAAGGAAGAGACGTCAGCTGGTGACAAACAGCCAGAGCCTCATCCCCAGTCTGAGGACCCTTTTGGCTCCCAAACCCTTTATTTGCAAGTGGGTGGCCACTGCTTTCCATACAAAACCAACACATCCAGTTAAAAGGAGCTTGGAAAAGCTTCCAAGGGACGAGAAACGGGAGGAGGTGGGGAGAGTGAGGAGAATTAACATTATAAAAAGAAATGGGGGGAAGAAATGGAGAGGGAAGAGAGGAGTAGGGGATGGCCCCCAGCCCTTTGCAGGAGTGGGAATGTCGATACAAGGGGCTGTGGAAGGCTGAGGATGGGGACCAGAGAGCGCCCCTCCTCTCAGGGCAGGGGTCCCCGCAGGGGCCCACGGGGAGGGACTCCAGGGGGTCTCTGTGCCGGCCGGGGGGGCAGTGGGACCCTCTGGTAGCCATAGGGGGGGGGCCGGGGGGGCCCATTGTAGCCGTGGGGTGGCATCAGTGGGGGGGGACCGCGGAGCCCATGGTGCGGCAGCGGCCCAGGATGACCTGTGGGAGACAGGGGGGTCAGCGCCAGGGGGGAAAGGACAGAGCCCCCCAAGCCCCCTGGAGGAACAAGGTCCACTGGCCCCAAGCCGCCTCCCAAACTTCCAGGAGGTGCCCACCACACCCAGGAGTGCCACATCCAGCAGGTGCCCCCAGCTTGGCCAACACCCCCTCTGTCTGAGGGTCCCAGAAATAGGAATTTGTCCCAAGACCCCTGTGGGCACGAAGGGCCTCCAGAACCATCCCAAAGCTGTGGATATCCCAATGGGGGGTTGCAGGGTCCTACGTCACAATGAGGAAACCTTGTGGAGACCCCACAGTGGGGCCAGGTCCCCCAGGTCTTGCTTCATGCCCAGCTGCACAACCCCTCCTCCCACCCCCAGAGGAGAGCCCCCCAGACAGGTCCCACTCACCCATGGGAGATCCAAAGTGTGGCCCCCGAGGGGGGAGCCCCATGGGGGGTGGCCCGGGGTGTGGCATTCCCGGAGGGGGCCGGGGGGGCGGCTGCCCTCCAGAGCCTGGCGGTCCTGGATGATGCTGGCCCATCCCAGGCGGCCCATGGTGCACCTGCATCGGTGGCATTCCTAGGGGCAGGATGGAGTTAGGGGTGCCGGGAAGCAGCTCCAGGCACTCCCAGACCCCCAGGAACTGAAATTCCATTCCAGCCAGATCTCTGGAAAGCATGGGTGCAGAGGGGCTTCTGCTGCCAAAAAGAGGCTTAAAGAGAAGGGAACACAGAGATTTTTGGCAAGAGAAAAAGGTTTGGATGCAAGTATGTGGGAAAAGAGATGGCACAGCAAGTGTGTGCAGCCTGGGACAGTGAGGAATCCTCATCCCTGGAGACTCCAGACAAGCTCCCAGAGCAATCTGAAGCTGGAGGCTGCCCTGCTCTGACTGGACCTCCCCCAGACTTCCTTTTTCCCAATTATCCCATTAAAAACAAACAAACAAACAAACAAACAATTCCTTCCTCCCAAGCCTGGTTTTCCCTGGCCAGGTGTAATTGGCTCTGCTCAGGCCCTGCAGCATCTGTTCCTGGCATGGCCATAGTAGGATCACACAAAGCTCCCTAATTAGGGCAGCTCCAGAGCCACGGGCTCAAACAAATCCCAGAGAATGATTAAATTGCACATTTCACAAAATTTGTGCTTTTGAACCCGGAGCTGAGATGCAGCCAGAGCTCCTTCCCAGGACCACAGGGCCAAAATGTGGGGAATCAGGGAAAAAAATGGTTTCATTAAATTATTAATGCCAAAAGTAGATCCTGCCTTCCTTCTCTGCACCACTGCCTTCCCATGTGCCCGCCTTCTTTCCTTCCCGTGTCCCTGCCTCCCACATCCTCCCAGCTAAAGGCAACTGACACCTCTCCCTGTTCAGGTGCCTCCCAGACAGCAATGACTTCCTAAATTCCCCAAATCCTCCAGCAATCACAACCCCACTCTGTAACTCAGAAAGACGAGAGGACCACCCCCCCCGCAGAAGGAGCCCCGCTCCCGCTCCGTACCTGGGTGGTGCATCCCTCCCGGGGGGAAGGGGTGTGGGTGCGGGGGGTGTCCCCCGGCGGGGGCGGCTCCCGAGGGGGGCCCGGGGGCTCCAGCGCCCGGCGGCATCGGCGGCGGGGGCATGGCTGGGGGCATCCCGGGGGGCAGTGCTCCAGGCGGTGGCACCGGCGGCGGGAACGAGCCAGGGGGAGGCAGGCCTGGAACACAGCGGGAAGGTGGGCCAAGGGAAACCACAGCAACAGAAAAACTCGGTAAAGGAGGCGGAAACAGGACAAAACAGCAGGATGCCGGGCCGGCACCTTGAGCCCTGGCTGAGACAGGTCTGCCACCCACCTGGAGGGGTGACCCCAGGCCCCAGCGCAGTGACCACAGGTGTGGGCACGGACGGGGGCGGGGGGGCGTCCGCAAAGAGCTGGTGGGGCCGGTCGGCCTGGGAGAGGGGGTTCTGAGCCGCCAGCAGCCGCTCGGCCGCTGAGCCGTGCCGCTCGCCCTTGGAGTCCTTCTTGAAAGCGTAGGACACGGTGATGGGGCGGTTGCACAGGTACTGCCCGTTCATGGCCTCGATGGCTGCGTCCGACGCATCGAAGCTGGCGAAGTTGATGAAGGCGTAGCCTTTGGAGTTGCCCGTGTCGGGGTCCCGCATGATCTTGGGGGTCTGCAGGATTACCCCAAAGGCGCTGAAAGTGTCGTAGAGCAGCTTCTCATCGATCTCAGGGTCCAGGTTGCCAATGAAGATGTTGGCGCCCACATCCAGGTTCTTGTTGTGGGCCGAGGCTTTGTTCACCCGGATGGGTTTCCCGTAGAGCTTGATCATGTTCATGATCTTGATGGCATAGTCAGCGTCCTCCTCGCTCAGGAACTCCACAAAGCCGTACCCTGCAGGACCCCAAAGAGGGTCAGGGGAGGGGCAAGAGACCTCAAAGGCATTTCACTGGGGACCCAAGGAGGACTTCAGGACAGAACGAGATACCCCACACCCCCTCACTTGATTTAAAATTCCAGTTCATTGAAAAGCCCACTGAATTATTGACTGAAACCCCCTTTATTTCACTTACACATAATACTTGATTTAGTCCCCACTTAATTTAAACCCTGGGGCCCCCACGCCTCTTGAGGGACAGAGGATGATCCCCCTCTTCCACTCCCACCCCCAGCTCTGGCCCTCGTTGGGATGTGGGAGCTCCTCACCCTGGTGCTGGCCCGTGACCCGGTCCTTGGGCATGTGCGTGTTGACCACCGGCCCGGCCTGCAGAAAGAGCTCCCAGAGCAGGGGCTCGCTGACCTTCTCGTCCAGCCCCCCCACGTACACCGTGGCATCTGCGAGGAACCGCGGTCAGAGCCGAGACAGCGCGAGGTAACGGGGGCTCGGGGCTGACATGGCTCGAGACAAAGCCCCCGAACCCGAAGCCCGCCCCCGGCCGTCCTTAACCCAGCAGGCGGGCCCCAAGCCCCTTTTTCCTTCGGAAGACCAGAACCCAGCGTGGTCCCGAACCCAGCGTGGCCCCCCTCCTTGTCGCCAGGGAGCCCAAAATTCCCTCCAGCTCCTTCCCGTGCCTCCAGGATACACCAGAGCCTCCCCACTCCCGCCAGAACCCCCCCGCCTGTGCCCCCCGATGTGTACACCCAAGGTCTCCACAGGACCCCCGCGGTGTCCCCCTCCGTGCCCACAGCGCTGCCCGTATCTCGCCGTGCCCCCGGGCACCCCCCGCCGCTCCCACCCTGGTTCCTCTCCGAAATCGGCCCCGCCGCCATCTTATCCCGCTCCGCGCGCGGAGCCGCACGCAGGCACGCAATGCGTGACGTCAGCGCGCAAGCCTCGCGTCCGTGGGACGGGCCGGAAGTGGCGTGTGCGGGGACGGCGCTGCCGCCATCTTGGGTGTGGCGGGAGGGGCCGGCAGGGGCCGGCGTCCCTTTGTCGGGACACGGAGTGTCGCCACTCTTCTGTCGCGACATGGCCGTTGCGGCCAGGAGTGCCCTTAAATGCCCCATGTTCGCAGTGCCGGGGGTCCCAGGTCTGGGCTCCCGCAGAGTCCTCATTCCATCCCCATTCCAGTCCCATCCCATCTCCAGTGCCCATCCCTGAGCTCCTCGAGCCCCATGGAGGCAGCATAGATTTAATGGAAAGTGCTCGCCCGGCGTCGGGGACACCTCGGGACCCCCAAGCACGCAGAGGGAGCCGGGAGCAGCTGCAAGGAGAGGGCACGGGGCTGTTGCAAAGGCCCCAGGGCTCGGGAGATGCTGGCGGTGTCTGGCCGATGCTCTCGGGGTCTCAGTGCGGTCTCTGCGTGTCCCAGGCACGGAGCCGGTCCTGGAGCAGCTCCAGCTCCTCAGCCAGCCCGGCCAGGGACGGGGCCAAGCGCCCACGCTGCTGAGAGACAATGTCCAGCCCAGTGTGGGGATGCAGGGCACGGGACACGAGGCTGGGACAGAGACATGGGACAGGAACACAGGGACGAGGACATGGAGTGTTCATCATGGGACAGGGACACAAGGATGGTAACACAGGGCACGATGTCCAGCGCAGGACAGGGACACAGACAGGACAGGATGGATGGACGTGGGGTCCATCCGTTCATCCCTCCCCGCTCGTGCACACGCAGGGTTAGCTGCATGGACACCAGCTGGGTCCAGCCCACGCAGCAGGACAGGCTGGGGCCCCCCAAACCAGGACCCCCCAAACCAGGACCCCCCAAACCAGGACCCCCAAACCAGGACCCCCTGGGCCCCAGCCTCCCCCCATGCTTCAGTTTCCCCGGTACCTGTTCCTGGGGCAGCCCCCTGAGGTAGCAGCGGTGCCAGAGGCGGATGCAGGGCCCGAGGGTGCAGGGCAGGAGCAGCCCTGGGGGGGGCTGGCAGGCCCCCAAGAGCCCCCCTTGTGTCCCCAGGCTCTCTGAGAGGGACACCCGGTGGGGAGGGCGCGGGGGGGGGCGGCTCCACCAGGGCAGGTGGTGGGGGCACAACGAGCCCTTAGCCAGCGTCAGCACCAGCCTGGGTCCCCCCTGTGGGCAGGGGTCTCCAGGCTGGGAAAGGGGCAAAACAGGGATTAGGAAAAGTGGAGGGTTAGGGTGAGGGTTAGGGTTAGGGATGAGGGTCTGAGGGATGAGAGGGAGTAGGAATTTAGGGGGAAACAAAAATGGGTGAAGTCCGTTGTGAAGGGAAAACAGGGGAGGAAAAGTGGGGTGAAAAAAAGGCATTAGGAATAAAAGGGGCTGAAAGAGGAAATGCGGGTAAACGATAGGCAAAAAGGGAAAAAGGGAGGGAAAAGCCAGCCAGAAGGACAAATGGGAGGCAAAGGAAGGGTGCAGCCCCCCAGCCCAGCCCCACTCACCGTGCCTGGGGCCGGGGACTCAGCAGGGGCCGGGGGTCCCATAGGGTTCCGGAATTGCTCCTGCTGCTGCCGGGTGTAGCGCCGCCCCCAGGCCCAGACCGGGGGGAAGGTGCAGGTGTGGGGGCCTCCCCTGTGCCCCCCAGGATCCTGCCAGCCCCCCACAGGCCAGTAGGTCTGGCTGGGGAGCTGGGGCTGTGGGGCAAGAGTTGGGAAGTCAGTCCCCCATTTGGGATGGGGAAACTGAAGCAGAGCGGGGAAAAGAAGGGGTGAAATGAGAGATCACAGTTTGGAATGGGGATGGAGAAACTGAGACAGAGTGAGGAGAAGGGGTGGAATGGGAGGGTTTGGGGATGCAGCAATGTGCCCCTGCCCCTCACCATGCTGCTGCGGCCCCGCTGGCGCTGGCAGCTGAAGCGGAAAGTGCTGAAGTAGGGGCTGAAGCTGCTGTCGTGGAGTGCCAGGAGAAAAGCCTCAGTGAAGCCAAAATCTGCCGGGAATTGCCACAGGAGCTGCCACGTGCAGTCCAGGAACAGCAGGAACACGGGGGCCTGGGGGTGATATGGGATGGGGTGGGCTCACCTCCTCCCAGCTCCTGTCACCCCGGTGGGACAGGATGGGGGGGGGTCTCACCTCCTCCCGAGGAGCGTCCCGGCAGAGCAGCCCCAGGCGGCGCGGGAAGGGGTGCCCGGCTGCCACCCACTCCCGCTGCACCAGGCTCTGGAAGCCAGGCAGGGAGCGGGCGTGGGGGTCCCCCAGGAGCTGCACCAGAGAGGCCAGGAGGCAGTTCAGGTCCCGATCCGAGGGCTCTGGGGGGGCAAGGTGGTGAGGGGAGGATCCCCTTTCCAGCCTCCTCCAGCCTTTTCCGTCCCGCATCCTGGTGCTCCCACCTTGCAGGACCACAGAGCAGCGCTTCCCTGCCAGCAGCAACACCACCTCCACAGCTTTTCTCAGGCAGGTGCTGGGGGGCAAAAGCAGGGGTTCAGGGCACCCCAAAATGCCACAGTCACCTATTTGGGTGGCTCCTGCACCCACCACAGTGGCCACATCCAGTGCCAGCTGGCCTGGAGGGGACGTTCCACCATGGGATTTACGGTGAATTTCCTCCCTACACCCCAAAATACCTCCCTACACCCCAAAGAGCCCCCGTGTCCCCTGCTCACCGGACATGGTCCAGCCAGCGTGTCCCCTCCAGGGCTGAGAGCCACTTCTCCTCTGCCACCGCACCTGGATCCCATGGGATGGGGTTTTAGTGGAGGGGAAGGCCCCTGGGTGGTCAAGGGGTCCCCAGGGCCTGCCTGGTGCCACTTACCAGGCAGGCAGAGTGCCCGCAGCCTCAGGTGGGCGAGCTGGATGTCAGCAAGCGTGGGCAGCTCGGCTGTGTCGGCCAAAATGCAGGGCCCACGGTCCCCCAGCAGCAGCGCCTCCAGGCACCTGGGGGGCACAGGGAGCCCCAGCTGGGGCCAGGCCAGGGGTACGCCTCAGCCCCCCCAGGCCCCCTGGGACCCACCTCACGTCCTCACTGCCTGGCTCTGAGGCTGGGTGAAAGCTGGCGGCTCTCAGCAGGTCCCCCCCACCCGGGTGATGCCAGCACAGGCGCTGCAAGAGAAACGGGGTGATGCCCCCACATCCCCCTGCCAGTGCCCCCTACCCCGCCAGGGCCTGCCCAGGCACTCACAGGCACCCGTCGCTCCTGAAAGTGGGCAAAAGTTTGCTTGAGGTCGTGGTCCAGAAGCCCACTGGGCACCCACAGGTACTGGGGGAGGCTGTGGGAATGTGGGACACAGGGTGGAGTCCCCCAAATCACAGGTGCCATTTCCAGTGGCTCAGACAGTTGGGGGACTGACAGGCTGTACCTGGGGGCCATGTCGAAGCGCTCATTGACGGTGCTCACCCTCCAGCCCGCAGTGCCGAGACGCTGCAGCTCCTTCTCCCAGTCCCACAGGCTCTCAAAGAGCAGCATGGTGGACGAGCCTTCCTCCTCATCCTCCTCGTCCTCGTCCTCCTCCGGGGGGGCTTCGCCAGGGCAGGACCAGCCATCGTGTCCCTCAGCAGCGTCCCCCTCCCACTCAGCTGCCTCCCGTGCCTGTGCGATGGCATTGGCCACCTGCGAGGGCGGCCAGGGGTGGGGTGTGAGCCCCCCGGGCTTCCCCGGAACCGTGGGGTACCCCAGAGTGAGGGTACAACACTTCTGCACCTCCCTGGCTCACCCGGAACGCCTGCGGAGCCAATCCGTTCTCGGGGAAGTAGAAATGGAGCAGGCGGAAATCCCGACAGAAGACGGCGAGTTCCTCGGGGATGAACTTGAGGGTGGAGGCGGCCGTCAGCACCTTGGGCTTGGAGAAGCTGCTGGCTGGGGTCAGGGGGATGAGGCTGTCGGGGCCAGCCGAGACCCGGCCAACTCATTACATGGGGCTGAGCCCCGAGACCTGCCCAGCTCATCCCTTGTACCCCCGGATGTCCCCATTACCTGCCACCAGCTTGTGGATGCAGGGCAGGGCCACCTCGTCCTCAGAGCGGAGGAGGCCGCGGGAGCCAGGAGCCTGTGGGAGAGTGGGGAGGGCTGGAAACTGCCCCAGAGTGTCCCCCCAGTCCCAGGAAGGGTGATGGGGATGGATCTGGACCTGGCTGTCCCATGTCCCTTGTCCCCCACTAAGTCCTGCAGTAAGGAGTTCCCAGGGTGAAGACGGCGGGTTCTGCAGTCAACGAGCCAGGATGGGCTGGGCGGGAGTTGGGATGGGAGTCAGGGATGCGGTGGGGTGGGGCTGAGCCGAGGGTCGGGGTACGGTGGGATGGATTCGGAATGGGATCGGGATGCGGTGGGATGGAGTCCCGCCGGGGCAGGGGTCCCCCCGGGCAGGAGACGCGGGGCCCCGCCGTCCCGTTCCTGATCCCGCTCCCGCTATTCCCGGCGTTCCTGGTGTTCCTGTCGCACCTGGCCGGGCAGGAAGGCGAGGCGGCGGTTGGTGCAGAGCAGCGTCCCCGGGACGGAGCCGCCGCCGTTCCCGCAGCGCTGCCGGGCGCCCGCCGCCTCCTCAAGCACCCGCTCCCCTGCGGGGACCGACACTGGGTCCGGGGCTCCGAGCGCGCCGAGCCTCCCCCAGACCCCGGCCCCGGCCCCGGCCCTACCTGGGAGCCCGGGGAAGGTCGGGCGACGCCCGCCCGGGGCCCCGCTCATGGCGCAGGGACTTTGGCCGGGCGGGCCCGGAGCGCCGGGGCCAGAGCAACCCGGGAGAGAGCCCCGAGAGCCCGGCCCGGCTCCGGCATCCCGCCCTCCCCTCCGGCATCCCGCCCTCCCCTGGCATCCCTGCCCCGGCATCCCGCCCTCCCCTGGCATCCCTGCCCCGGCATCCCGCCCCTCGGGGCCCGGCGCTCCGCGCGCCGCCATCCCAGTGCCCGGTACCGGCGGCGGGACAGGGGGGACCCCGGGGCCGGGAGCTCCGCGGGCGGAGGGGGAGCGGCCTCAGGCACCGCAGGGCTTCAGCGTTGGGGCGGGGGTGCAGCCCTGCGACCCCGTCAAGAACGGGCGGTTCTGCGGTCCTGCAAGCGCTGCCCAGTGCCGGGAACCCCCAAACCCCGCCAGGAGGGTCACGGGCGGGGGGCCCGGGGCCCCTCCCGGCACACGGCAGCAGAAGCTGCTCGGTGACTCACAGCAGAAGCACGGAGCCTTCTCCTCCCAGCCCAACGCCGGCTGCCAAGCCAAGCCGGCCCTGCTCCCGCCGGCCCCTGCCTCAAAGCGGGCAGCAGGTGCATGGTGGCCCCGGGGCTACCTGTGCCACCCCTCAGTGCCACGAGACCTCCGGGCACCCCAAAACCCAAAGCCCGAGGCAGCCGAGGTAGCAGTGCCGGCACGTGTCAGGATAAATCCTGACACACAAATCAGGCACATGGAAAACTCAAGGGAACTCCAGTTACAGCTCTGATTTTTGGTGTATTTCTCCCCAGATGCTTGGGGCTGTCCCAGCTTTGGAGGCTGCAGCTCGTGCACCCCGATTTTCCTCCTGCAGGAGAATCATCTGGCAGAGGTTCCCGGGGGCTTGGGTAGGCTTTTGGCTCTGGCACCTGGCAGATGAGAGGAATTTCCTGGAGGCTTTGAGCTCGGACCTGCTCCAAGCCAGGGGTCAGTCTGGGCCACGGCAGGAGGAAAGATCCTGGAAGAAAATCATCTGGCACAGGCATGGAACCGGGCATGGAGTGTCCACTCACAGAATCAGGAGGAAGGAAAAAACACCAGGAGCTGGGAGAGAAAATCCCAATGACAGAAATCCTATGGGAAACTGTTCCCGGAGTTCCACCCTCTGCCATCCATCTCCAACCACCCCCAAACCTCTTCTTCCTCTTGTTTAAAGCCTCAGCATCCAGATGGCCCATGCGAGACTTTATCCCTAATTTTGTCCAGAGACTCAGGTACCAAGGGAACACACCTCTGGGGTGGCCTTGGGATGCAGCTGGAGAAAAGGCTCCAAGACCAGCAAGGATGGAAAGAAACAGGGAAGGAAGAGTGTTTGAGGGTATTCTTTTTTAAATGAAAGCCAAGAATTAGTACCAAAATGGAATCACACAGTTAATAATAGAAATAATAACCCCCAACATAAATAGTAAATGATAACCCAAAAATCCCAATAATTGGATGGAGAAGGGGATGAGGAGCAGCCCCAGGATAGAATTGGGGATGCCCAGAGGCCTTGGGGTGAGGGGATAAAGGAGCCTCAGGTGCATCTGCTGAAGGTTTTTATTGTCAGAGTCTGTGGTGCCACAATGAGGCCACAGGTACAGCCCAAGTGCAACGCTCTGGCCCTGTTCATCAGGAGGCCAAATACCACCAATTAATCTGGAATTAATTTAAAAAAAAAGGGGGGGGGGGTTGAATAAACCACTGCATAATTAATTCACTCAGTGTCATGTTAGTGAGATCCAAAGGTGCCCCAGCCTCCCCTGCCAAGAGGCTGGGGAATGGCGAAGGTGAATCTAATAAAATCAAATCAAATCTCATTAATGGGTTTTACACACGCTGATAGACAAAGTTTTCCTCCACCAGGATCCGATGGCAGCAACCAGTAAGTGCACTTAGTTTGACCTTGGGGTCACACCACAGTCTCCCCATCTCCAGGGAAAAATCCCTCCTGGGGGCAGGTTTGGTGCTTCTCCAGTTTTTGAGTTTCCCTTCCAGGACTGGTGCTTTTCCTACAGGTTTTCTGCCTTCTCCCTCTCTCTCCTCCCCACCAAATCAGCGAGGAATTCTGGGGGCTTCCCATCCCCACCCAAGCCCAGCATCCACTGGGATGGAGCTAACCAAACAGGAGAGAAACTTCCCCAAAACCCAAGGAACAAGTGATGAAGCACCTCCCGCCTTCCCTCCCGTGCCCTGGGGCATCCCTGCTCCCGCTGCTTCCAGGATGCCAAAATAAAGCTGCTGCTCCGATTTTGGGAAAAATAAACATCAAAAACCGGAATTTAAACCAAGTTCCCATAAACAGTGTAGGGTTTGGGGTGGGTTTTAACCATTTCAGCTTAAAATTTAGGGTGAACCAAGTAGGGGCAGAGCCTGTGCCACTTAACCAGTACTGCATGTCCCTTGCCCTGGGGTTGAAGTCCATTGGAATTCCTGCAGTTTGAGGGAGAAATGTGGAATTTGTTTGGAGGTAAGGAGCCAGCTAGAGTGGGTGTCACACCCTCCCCTTCCCACAGCTTCAGCCATGCTCAGGGATTTTATAAAACCAGGGAAAACAACTCACACTGGAGTCAAACCATCCCTGGGGTGTCTGAAATTTGGATGTAAAAATCTGCAGACAAGGAGCATTGCTGGCTGGTCTCAAAGTGTTAGGATCCCACTAGGAAAGGCCTTATTTGGGGGCATTTAGGTGTAGGAAAGGCCTTAATTCAGGGGGGTTTAGGTCTAAATTAACATTTTTAGGGCCAAGTGTAAGGCACCGGGTGATCCCCCGAGCTCAGCACACTTCCAGCTCCTCCGCCCAGGCCCCCATCCCTTCTCCTGGATATGGCCATGGGCAGGAAGGGGTTGCAGAGCTTGATGCCTTCTGGAAAATCAACCCAAAAATAAAATCAAGGGAATGTTGTAAAGCTCTGGCTGAAGAATATAACTCCTGTTTTATTTCCATGTGATAGGAAATGCTGCACCTCACTCTGTGCAGGATCAGGCCCAGTTTGGAAGCTGCAGTTACCAAAAAACCCAAGGAATTCTGTGCAAACATCGCAGTGCTAAAGTGAATCCCACCCTGGGAGCCAGGGAGCTGGGATGGGGTCAGGAATGGCGCGGGACGTTAGTCACAGGAGGATTTTACCTTATTGTTCTGCTTTTTAGCCCTGTTATCAAAAATATGGATTAATTCCGCAGCCTAAAGGTCAGTTGGTGGCTCAGCACAACGGAGCCGAGTTAATCAGGATCAGAGGTAGTACAGAGTAGCTGTGCTCAAGTAGGAGTTACATGGGGCTGTGACCCCCCGGCTCCACCCCGGGACTGGGGGTGCTCTGGGACCCCTTCCCAGTGGGTATTCCTGGGGGATTTGCCCCACACCACTGGGAATTCCTGGCAGGAGATGCTGACCCAGGATCTCACCTCAGCTCTCCTGTGGGCTGGGGGTTCTGCACAGGAAGAGAAACCTCCAATCCCCTGGCTCCCCCCGCCTCAGAAAGGGTTTAAAAACAACATTTTAAAACCAGACTTGAGCTCATCCGTAGGAGAGGGGGGGACAGAGCCCTGAGCCCATCCTGGTGCTCGGAGTCATCCCACCTCACCTCACCAATGTCCAACTCCAACACGGTGTCGCTCAGTACCAGCAAGAAGAAATACAGAATAAAACCAGTGTTAAAAAATTCCATTAAAAGGTTTGTGACGCTCAAAATGGGGCATTTTTGCTCCGTCCCAGGTGGTCAGGAAGCGGGAAGGACCCGGTGGGAGCTGCTCCCCCTGCCCACTCCCAAAGCTTTGGTCTGCTTTATTGAGTTTTTGAGGAATTCTCCCCTCTCACCCTGTGCTCCGACCCGAGCAGCCCCCACTGTCCCCAGGCACCCCTGGGAATCCTCCTCCTCCTCCTCCTCCTCCCTCGCAGGGGCTCTGGGAAAGCAGGGGCTGGTTTCCCCCCTCTCTCCCTCCTGCCCCCCGTCAATCCCACCAGCCCCACGCCCATCTGGCCGAACGCCTGCTCCCACCTCCTGCAGAGTGGGAGAGGAGCGTGGGTGGGTGTAAAACCAAACTGGATCTCTGTTATCGCATCCCCCACATTCCAGGGGTCCGGATCCGCACAGGGGGAGCATCAGAACCTGTGCACCAGCGCCTCCCGTTCCCTGCGCCGCAGCTCCTCCTTGTAACAGCAGGAACAGAAATTCCCAGTCTCTGGGTGTCCATAAAAGCTGCAGTTGGGCTGTTTGCACTTGGTCTGCTGGATGTTGTAGAGGGCTTGGCTTCTCATTTTATCTGCTGTTCCTGCCTTGTCCTGCTGGAGGAACTCCCGGCAGCCGTTGCTGTGCGGGGGGAGGCAGCCGGAGCCCTCGCACTCCGCAGGGAAGGGAGGCTGGGTGTCCATGTCCGTGGGGGAGAGCCGGCCCAGGTGGGCAGGGCCGGGGGGACAGGGGCCGAGCCGGCCCTGGTGGTGCCGGGGCAGGGTGGCATAGGGGGGGAGGCTCCCACAGGGCCCCCCCGCCAGCTGCCGCCGGCCCTCAGGGCAGCTGGGTGGGTGCAGCCCCTCAGCACTGCCCATGGAGGGCCTGGGGAAGGTGAAAACGCCGGAATAGCCGGCGGGAAAAGCGGCTATTTTAGCAGCCACGGCTGGCTCCAGGGGCTGGGGAGGGTAGGTGGGGGGTGGCTGGGAGAACACGGGGCTTGGCATCACCTCCTCGCTCCGCTGGGCACCCACCTCCCCTTCTGGCCTCTTGGCCGGGGCAGCGCTGCCCAGAGCCTTCTTCTCCGCCTCCTTCTGCCGCTGCTCTGCCAGGAAACGTTCCTCAGCATCCAGGAGGTACCTCTGGATCATCTCCTCCTGGAACTGGTGCCGGCTGCTGGTCTTGAGGTGGCTGGCGAAGATGAACTTGCGCTCGCCCTGCATGGCCGCGCGCAGGATGCTCAGGCTCAGCCGCACGTCACTGCTGTACTTGTAGGGATCTGACGGCTTCTCCAGGGCTGCTTTACCTGGACACGTTTTCTCTGCAGGAGCTAAGTCTCCTGGGGAACATTCCTCTTTGCTGTCTTTCCGTGTCTTCAGAGATCCTTTCTTCTTCTTCTCCAGGGTGTCTCCCTGCCCATTGCTCATGCTGCCCTTCACAGCTTTGCTGTGCATTAGGCCCCCCATGTTCTTTTTTAGTTTGCTGCCCAGAGTCTTCCCGAAGCTTCCCAGCTTGTTGGCTACCGAGTCTGCCCGTTTTTTATCCTTCTCCTTCTCCCGCTCTTTCTTTGGTTTCTCCCTGTCCTTGCCCGCCCTGGTGCCCCCGTTGCTGGCAGAGCTGCTGCACACCGACTCCTTGTCCGACTCGCCTGACTCTGCTGCCGAGCGAGGGTCATCACCTGCGGAGGCCGTGGGGGATTCTGGCTGAGCCAGAGGTGCCTGGGGAGGAAGGAAAGACAAATATCAAAATCTAGAAACTCCTTGGGTAAATATTTTCAGGTGGAACATGAAGCAAAGGAGGTGGTGCTGCCTGGAACACGGAGGGGACAGCATCCGGACACATTCACTGTGTCCCTGGTGCATCCTGCACATCTTTAAATATCCCTGTGGCACCCCTTCCACCTGAGCTACTCCAGGATCTTATGATTCTATTCTGTAATTCTATGATGCCTCCACTTGCTCGAGGTTTCAGATGCAAAGCCAGGGAAGAGGGGGGTGAGACTTGTCCCAGTCTCAAGGTGGCCGTGAACGAAGAGCTCCCATCTGTTTGGAACATGGGGCATCCCTGAGGGGCATAGGGGCTTCTGGGACATGTGAAGACTGAAATGAGGCATGGAAAACTCCAGGGAAAAGGCGCCCAGCTGCAAAACTGAGTCACTTCCCTGCTCTCTGAGCAGAATCAGCCACAATTCCTGTGGGCACAGAACCCCACAGGAGGCAGAGCCCCCAGGTAAGGCCCTACACCAGCTTTGCTGTAGAGAGGAGGGTTGAATAATTAATAGGTAAAGAAGATCCCCCTGGTCCCCTTACCTGCATGTCACAAGGCAACGTGATCCATCGGACATTCATGTAGCTGTGCAGCAGGTGCAGTTTGGCTTCCAGCGACAGCGTCACGCTGGCATTGGAGCAGAGTAAATCCACAGGTTAGAGCCATTTTCCATTTCCCACCTGGAAGTATCTCCCCCCATATTTACATTATTCCTTGTGTTATGTATCTAAATGGGTGTTTTCCTACAGCAGGTCCAACAGAAGGGACAATTATGCAGCATTCTTTTCAATGAAAACCCAGAGGGAGAAATCAGATTCCTCAGTGTTGGAAACAAAATGCTTCTGCCTCAGACATAGGAACTTCCGGGACCAAACCATGGTGAGACCTGCCCAAAGTCTCACCCAAACCAGGCATGGTTTGCTGGCCACCCCCTCCCCACTCTAGGGACCCACAACACAGGGATTTGGTGGAGAATGGAAAAATGCACCTTTGTTGTGCTACTGTGACAGAAGATCCTCCACTGCTGGCAGTGTTTTGAGCTATGCCCAGAGCTTCACAATATGTGGGAATAAAGCTTGTGAGATATCACTGGCCCACCCAAATCATATCAAAACGAAGGAAAATGAAGGAACAGCTGCTCCATCCCATGAAGAGTGTCATTCCCTGGGCACAACTTTCATCCACCACAAGAAATCCCAGCTGGGGTCAGGACTGACCCCGTCAGCCTCTGCTCTGCAGATCACCCAGACCCTCAGTGGAGCCTCACCCCGGATCACCTGCAGATCACCAACCTGGCCAGCTTGACATTGTCACTGTCGTCCTTCCCCCACTGCCACTCCTTCCCGGGATCCACGGCGAAGTGCACAGGGAGCAGCTTGTGCTCAGAGTCTGTCAGGGGGATCACAGCTGCCCCGGGACAGAAATGTCACGTTTACAGCCCAAAAGGACAAATACTCCACACTTGGAGCCAACTCTGAGCACCCACCAGGAGCATCGTCACCTCTGATGGGAATGGCCTCACGGCAAATCCCAGTGACTGCCAGTCCTTGGGACCATGGACTCTTCAGAGCACCATGGAATGCCTCATGACCCTCAAAGGAAGAGCTTCTTCACAATATCCCATCTAACTCTGCCCTGTGTCAGTGGGAAGCCATTCCCCGTGTCTCGCCACTCCAGGCCCCTGTCCCAAGTGTCTCCCAGCTCCTGGAGCCCCTTTGGGCACTGGAAGGGCTCCAAGGTCAGGACACTGTTGGTCTTCTGGGCTGACAGTGCATGTTGATGGGTCCTGGCCAGCTTTTCCCCCCCAGCACCCCCGAGTACTCCTGCTCAGTGCTTTGTTCACCTGAATCTCATCACCCACCTTGATCCTTTGTGTTTTCCTTCTGCTCCATGGAGACCAGGGCAGAAAAATGGGCTTGGTCATAAGCCAGAACCAACGGAGACCGGTGGCATTTGTTGGCTGGGACTTCCAGGGGCAGATAGATCCCCCCAAAGGGAATTGGGGCGAATGCTGGGAAGAAACAAGAGCGGTTAGTTCTGGTCACAGGTTCAAGAGTTCAGAGTTGTTTGTGCTGCAACTGCCAGAATGAGACATTTGCCTCAGTTGAGGGCTCACCTGCAATTATCTGTCCTCAAAGGGGACATTAAACAAAACCACAACCCAAAACAGATGTTTATTTTACATCAGTAGGATTTAAAATGTAGAATAAACTGGCATTTTCTATAAAAAGCCCTCCACTCCCCCACAAGACAAACTTTGCCCACAGAATGATGGAAATTGATTAACCTTCTCTGACAGGAAATTGAAGCTGATGGTGAAAATCCACCACCCAGGGAACGGAATTTCCCATATCTAGATGTGTGTGTAGGAGCAAAAGAGGTAGAAGAAAGAAAAAACCTTGTGTGGATGCTCTTAAAGGAGCAGGAATTGGGTTGGGAGCCAAGCCTGGCCCTGACCCCTCTGTGGGTTCACTGGTAGCAGGTCAATTTTCCCCCCTGTGCCATTCCCAATTCCAGGTCCAGCCTTCAGGGCAAAGAGGCCCCAGGAAAATACAGGGTGGAAAGGAAAGGGGGACAGATCAGAGAGGCTTTGGGAAGTGAGGCAGGTCTCACCTTCGCCGCCCGAGTCCCGCAGCATCGTGTCTGCCACCACCACGATGGGTCTCTTTAGCACATGGGCCAGGACAAAGACGTGGAACTCCTCCAGGCTCTCGTACACAGGCTCCTCTGAGCTCTCCACCCTTGGGGAAAGGGGAAGTTGAATGCCCTCCCTTGGATATTCAATCATTTGCTTTGCAACACCAGGAGGAGATTTCCCAGTCAGCCACACAGAGGTGGGTGGGCAGCCCTAAGGCTGATCTCAGCACTAATCTAAGGGTTTAGGGTGTGGATTCCCAAAACGTCCTGCTCCAAGACAAGGGCTTGTGCCCAAGGAACACCCAGCTGCTGCCTGGCATTGCTGGGAGTCCCTTACCTAAGGAGCTGGACAGCAGTGGCAGGGAGGTGTCTTTGAAACAGAAATGAGATGGCAAGAACTCTGGGTTACTCTCTCATTTCAGAGCAAGCAACATAAGGAAACGATTCATTCCCTACTCAGTCCATGTGCTACTCCACAGAAGAGGCTGTGCAGCACCAAAATCCTTTCCTGGGATGCTCTATGTGCCTTGTGTTTCCTCGGGATCCTTTGTCCTTCCCCTGACACCCCAATGAGACAGAGCACCACAGACCCACTGCCCTGCCCTGGAGCAGCATGAGAGCTGTGCCCTGAGGGAATACATTCCCTGTTTTACACCTGGATGTGCTCTCTGCTCCGTACCCGCTGCAGCTGCCGCCGTTGGTGCCGTAGTGCACGCGGGGCTCACTGGATGCCAATTTGATCAGCTCATTCCACTCCTTCTGCCACTCCTCCTCCGTGTAAACCAGGCCAGACTGAAAAACAGCAAAAAGAACCCAAAATCCTCCAAGTGAAACTCTTCCAGTTGCTCCAGCGCAGGTTTATACTCACAGCACAACTTTCCTCTATGGGTTTATGCAAAAACAATCAACATACTGTGCACCACGTCCTCAAAAGTGCTTCCCAATACTCATCCAAACTTCCCCTCTCAATTTAAATCCATTCCCCTTGTCCTGTCACTTGTCCCAAGACCTTTTCATTCTGCTACAGCTCTGACTGCTGGACACCCTTTACCACAGCACAGTCCAGTGGCACAGCAGGGAGCTGCCCAAAATTCCAGACCCGACAGGAAGCACCTCCCAGCCCACAGGATGTTCCCCTTGGCAAAGAGGGCCCAAAGCAGCATTCAGCTGGCTCCCACCTCCTTGTTCTGCTGCGTCTGCTGCCAGCGCCATCTCCGCCTCAGCGCTTCCCGCTCCACTCCCTTGTCCATCAGGGTGTAGAGGGACTTCCGGAGCATGAGATCCCGGTCATGGAAGCCCCACATACCTGCAGGGAGAAGGAACGGACTGAAAGGTCAGGAAGGGCTAGTGTCACTCCCTGACCCACTGAGCTCCCTGCACAGATGCACCAGAGAAGGGAAGGGGCTGCTCCATTGTCCCACATTTCCTTCAGCAATCCAGGGAAACTTGCCAGACAGAGGGGGAGAAGGATTTGAGAAACATACAAGCTGCTGGCAGCCCCTTCCCTTCAAACCACCCCACTCCCAGAGCCCGAGCACTGCGACTGCTCTTGCCCACCAATGCTGCTGCAGCTAGAGGAGCAGCGGCATCCTGGATTCCCAGCAGAACGGGTGGGTCCTGCTCCCAAAGGGGGATCTGGGCTCTTGTCCAGGGACTGGTTGGCTGTTTCCCTGGGGATTAAGCCAAGCCTTACCCAGGGAGGCAGCATGGAGCAAGCAATTCCCATCGCCAGTGGTGGCCAGGGGCAGCAACCGCTGGCAGCTTGGATCCACCGTCACCCACCAGTTGAGACGCCCTGGGGAAATTTGGGAGAGCATGAAACCATGGCATAACACGGACTAGGGAACCCTGCGGGGCACTGAGGGGCTCAGCCCTTCTGAAACCACAGCCAAAAAGCAGCTGAACCAGTGGGGGAGTGCCTGGACAGGTGGGAAGGTACAGACCCATCCCAGGACTGGGGGGGGAAGAGCCAGGACGGTGACAAAGCAACAAAAGGAGGAGGCTGGAGCTGAAAAACTCCCCAGGGATGCCAGGAAAAGAGTGGGCTGAATTTGGGGTCACACATATCAGAATTAGACACAAACAGGAGCCAGGACTTCCACCCAGACCAGTTTTCCTCCATCTGTTTTTCCCGCACCCCCCTTATTTCCCTCCCCATAACCCATCAGGCTGAAAATGTGTCCAGGAGCACAAACAACTTCTCCAAGGAAAACTAGCCTTTTTCTGCTTCTTGGAACCAAGTCCCTCCAGTTTCAACTCTCACATGGCCGGGTTTCCCTGCTCATTGTTTTTTAGGCAGAATACTCCAGGATTTCTGCTGATCCCAGCAGCTTTCCTGCTGCAAATACAAACCGACAGCACTTTAGACTGGGAATTTTGGGTCATTGTGGTGATTCAAGTCAAGAGCAGCTAAAAATAGAAGGCAGGGAAAAATGCCCAGTGAGCCCAATGTGGCTGTAGATTCAGCCCTTCCCAAGGGAGCGAAGCCGGGCTGGATCAGGACTCTGAAGCCCCGGTCTGTATCTTGCCCTGCCCTCAACATCCCTCCTTGGCTGCCGTATTTTTCCAGGATTTTTGGATCCTGTGTAACAGGCAGTTTTTTGGCTGGATGAGGCTGTTTAGGTTTCCAAGTTGTATTTAAATTTCTCCTGCAGGAAACCAGCCCTTTCCCATCGTTTCCAAAGAGCCTCTCCTTCCTCTGGAGCAGGGATCCCAGTACAGACATAGGACTGCTGGGAAACCTCAGGCAGGGCAGCTGGAGAGGAACTGAATGCAGAAAACAGTGTTTAAAACATCCCCAAACACTAGAAAACAAAACCCACGAGGTTCAGCATGACACAGGCAGGTTGTTCCTGTCCCTAGCGCCAGGAAAGGGACCCGCCAGAGCTGGGAGCGTTCCACACTGAGCCTGGGACAATGGCTCTGCAAGGAGAAGCCGGCTGTTCCCTCAATATTCCCAACAATACACTCCTGGCACGGAGGAGTCGGGAGCCTGGCCAAGTGGCCCAGGGCCAGGGGAGCAAACGCAGCGCCTCACAGGAGCTGTCCCACACGTAACTCTGCTGGGGCAGCACCGAGAGCTCCTTCTTATCCATTTTTCCTCATTCCTGCAGGATTTGATGCTCTTCTCCATGAAGTTTGCATGTCTGGTTGGTGCTTCGGAGGCTGCGCGACCTCTGCCCAAGTCAGATCTGAGGGGACACACCTTGGAGAGGTATTTCTGTGCCCAGTGTTTGCACTGACTCCAGTTACGCAAGAGAAGTCGTCTCCAAAGGAACTGCACGCCCAGCCCTCCTCCCAATGTTTTGCTCCCATCGAGGCGGCGGAAAGGCCAAGAGGCTGCCCAGAAGTATCGAAAACAACACATTTCTCTGTGTCTGGCTCCTAAGAGCCAGCCCTGAGAGCTCTGCAGGGAAATCAGCTGGATTTAGGAGCCTGAGGGATCTTCCCAGAACGGCCATGGTGGCAACAGATCTGCACACAGGAGAAGTCCATTGGCATCCAGAAGCTCCCTCTGCATCCAGCACCGTGACCCTACGTTACCCCACAGAACACCTGTTTGTCCCCACAGGGTGTTTGGGGAAATCCCATCGTATCTTCCAGCAGGAGCCACCTGAACAGGTCAGGGCAATGGGAAGGAGCTGATGGCTCTGCCCAGCCTGAAGGGAGGATTGCCTCATCCAAACCACAAATGGCTTCCCCAAGGCTACCGGGAATCCACTCTCGCTGGTGACACAGGGAGCGTCCCAGGGATCCAACACAGACACCGTTCATTGCCCTGTGTGGCAACCAGAGACCAGCGGGGGTTTCTCCCTGGTACAGGTGAAGGACCAGGATCAGGATCTTTCAGTTCTTCATGATTTTTTTTCCCCCAATATCCTCAGGTGAGGCACCATGGACTTCTCCTCCCCGTGTGCCACAAGCAAACCCACTCTGCAGCTTCCCAACTCAGAGCAAGCAAGGCCTGATTCCTGATCCACAAGGGTTTGTGTCAAAGGATGCCAAGGCTCCACTGAGGGCCAAGATTCCACCTGCACCACCTTTCCATACCACCCCGAGCACATTCAAAGCATTCCCAGAGGATCTCATTGAAGTTTACAGCCACTTTTAAAGCACTTACTCTGCCACAATGGTGTAACAAGACGTCTGAATACATGGGGAAGAGGATATGAACATTTATTGGGCTATAAAATATTTCCTTAATCCCCTAAGGACGGTGTGTGCTAAATTAATAACTGGAGTCTCTGTATATCACAGCACCAGGCTCAAAACCCTACTTGGAATCCAGCTTGGAATATTTCATAGCTGCACTACAGCCCTTTGTTACAGACAAAACATTCATTTATAACAACCCACAGACATTCAAGTCTCCGAAAGGCATTTTCTGAAACTGAATTTCTAAATTCCTTCTCATTAATGGCATCTCAGCACACCTGAAGTGCCCCCAGCCCACGGATGAAGCACTCAGTAACCCCCAGCCCCACACCCCGTTTGTGCTGGGACACAGGAACCCAACCCCTGGCTCTGCTGGGATGAGATCTGGGGTTTATCTGCACCAGAGCCAGCAGCTGCTGTCACCGCAGGGCGTGACAGTGTAATGGGATCGCTGGGATCAAGTGCTCATTCCCAAAACATGAGAATATTTCTTACAGCAACTCCTGAGCAGGAGAGGGAGAAGCTGGGCCCCCAGAGTGTCTGTTATCCCTAAGGATAACGTGTTTTCTGGTATGTGCAGCACCACGGGAACAGCGGGGGCTGTAAACCCTCCTGAGATCCCTCACAGCATCCTGCCCCTGCCCACGGGAACCATCCTGGTTCCAGGGATGAGGTTTTTCCCTGCCAGCACGAATGTCCCTCGTTCCCTCATTTACAGACCCCCTGGCAGCTCTTCAGGAACCTGATGGAAAGCAAAGCAGGGGGTTCCTCTCCAGGCACCCAGCAGGCACTGGAGCAGCAGCATCAACCTCCAGGGTCTGTGATCAATGCAGAATCTGTCAGCAGAACGTGTTACACAGGAATTCCCTTTTCCCAGTCTCTCCGTGGGATGGGCAGGATGGAGCACTGGGATGCTCCAAGGGTGAGACAATGCCAGTTTTGGGGTGTTTTCCCTCTCAACTGTGCACAGTGGTAACAGCCCTGGGTTATTTACACTCAGGTTCCATGGGTGAAGGGAAGTGGCTCCTACTCAGCCCTTGCACCAGGTCATAAAAATGCTGGAATGTTCCCTGTTGCATTCATGTGATATCCCAGGGTGCTCCCATGGGTGACACTGCCCAGCTGCGCACGGCACACACCACCAGCATGGATCCAGCACTCACCAGCCTGCTCCAGTGCTACCAGCATGGACTGCTCAATAAGATCCCGTTCGATGAAGCTGCGGAAATCCTCGGAGTACACGGTGAGGTCGGGCAGCTGGAAGGTACAGATGGGCATCTCCAGCAGGTGTTCGCTGCTGCTGCCATTGCTGGAGACATGGGAACGGGCCAGGGACACGATGGTGGAGCTGGCATGGGAGATGCCTCGGGACAGGCGCTTCTCTAGGGGAAAGAAGGAAGAGCAAACAGCAAAGTGGGGCAGGAGCAGCAAATCCCGGCCAGCACCAAAGCTCCGCGGTTCTGGCAGTGAGCGGATCACTCTGGCATGGGGATTTGGGAGATGCCTCTGGCTCCAGGACCCTGACCTTGCACGATGTCATCCTGGCGCTGCAGCGGGGGCCTCCCCGGCCGCGCCACCTCCCGCTCCGGGGGCCGGGCCCCGCGGCCCTCGTTGAAGGAGTGCGGGAGGTTCCCAGCGTGCACCTGCCGGAGCTGCTCGAAGTCGCTCAGCGCCGCACTCAGGTCCCAGTTCTTGCCTGGATGGGAAGGGAGCAGCGCTGGTCCCCCTCACCCGGCACGGAAACCGAGGCACTTCCTAAACATCCGTGTCGGAAACTATTCTGACCCCAGCTCCCTCACCCTCTTCCAACCCTTCTTCCTCCTGGCTCACCATCAGCCACCCCGGGCACTTCCCTCATTATTCCCAGTTTTCCATACCTTCAAGGAGGTCTCTGGCCAGCCCCGGCTCTGCCCCTGTTGAGCGGACAAAATCCGACAGGACGATGTCCATAGCCGAGGCCAGATGGAGTCAGCGGCACCGGATCGGCTCCTCGGCATCAGTCTGGGAACGACACCAAGAGCACGCCTGGACTGCACATCCCGGTCGGGAATGAGCTGAGGGGGATGCAAACCTCCCCCGAAAATTAACTGTGCTTAGGACTGCTGGGTCATTCTTTGGGAATGGCAAGAACAACACCCACTTTGCTGTAACCAGCAATGGGCATTTCCTTGGAAAATTCACAAACTAAACCCAATTCTAATCTCAAAGGTGGTGGAGCTTTTCTTTCCAAATTAGGAATAAGGATCCAGGAATAAATTATATAATAAATGAGTATTTGGGAGCAATGAGAGAGCAGGAAGTTTCTCCTGTACATTTACAGGAAGCAGATCCTTCTCCCATTCCACTCCAAGCACCCCAGCTGTGAGGCAGGGAAGGGGAAGTAAGGACAAAATGCTAGAACTAGGAGATGTGTCCTAAGGAAAATACATTTTAAAAAGCCCCTTTCAAGCCAAAAAACAAGCCAAACCAAATGAAACAATCCCAATTCCTCTTGCAGAAAAAAATCAACGCCCAGACAGAGCTCCTTTCCACTCCAGAGCCCCTTGCCAGGTTCCTTTGACTCCAGAGCTCCTTCCCAGAAGGGAACAAAACCACAGATCTATTCGTAAATCTGGATTTTGTCAGGTTCTGAGCCTGTGGAAGGCGTGTGCTCCTGCCATGCCTTCAAATCCTGATTTTCCGCATTCCTCAGGGCAGAGAGGGAAAGGAAGAGCAGCCTCATCCATAGGAGTCCAGATCAGCAAAGTGCTCCATGGAATTTGGGGTTTTGCAGTTAAAGTCTATGATAAAAATTCTGCCATCGAGGAACAGAAAAGAATGGTAAAAAAATTTATGCTGAGCTGAAAATCTGGAAGGGGAAAATCTGGGAAGGCTGGCAGAGGGAGCTGCTGGTGTACTGAGCATAAGAGCAAACTTCAGGATTGTGTTGAATATGAACAAATCTGGTTGTTTTCCTGGTACCCAGGAAATAAAGTCTCTTTTTCAGGATTATCCCTAAAGATGGGCAAAACCCCCCGGGTGCCTTGAAATGTTTTTTTCCAAGATTATCCTTAAAGGCGGGTGAAATTCCCTAACAGCACAACTCCCCACAAGCCAACCGTTACATCCAGTCTTTAACCTAAAATTTCCTGGCTTTGCTGGAAAAACACCATTCCCACTCCCATAGTGTGGCTATTAAGTTCCTCCTCCCAGAAAACCTCTGTATTCCTTCCCTGCTGGAGCAAGCCGGGAGCTGCGTTGCAAGAAGTGATGCCAAAGCCCAGTGCATTCCAGGAGCACAATTTGGCAGTGATTCCTGCTCTTACTCCACCAATTTAGGGAACATCCCTAATTAGGAGTCGCACGTTTGGATCCTCTAATCCCTGGCAAGAGCTGCAGGAACAAGCGGCAGCTCCAGGATGAAACTGGCTGCAATAATGGGTAAAACGTCCTTCAGGTGGGCGTGGAATTCCAATGAAAATGAAAACTCAGCAGACGCAGTGGAGGTTTGGGGAGGGAACAAGAAGCACATCCCACCCCCTCATCCTTGGCATTCTGAACTCCCGCGTGCAAAAAAATGCCAGGGAAAACACAGATGGAAAACTCTGGGTCCAACAAGGCAGTGATGGATTGTTGGAGATTTACTGAGGGTTCGGACAGAGAAATGTCCCCACCCCAGAGTTACTGATTATTTCCCTTTCCTTGTGGAAGGGAAATGCTCTCTCCTCTTCCCTCCCTCCAGAACAGGTTGGAAATATGAGCCCAGGTAGGAAATCCAAGCCCCAGGAGATTCACAACTGCAAATCCATCCCCCAGCAATGGAGCAGGTGCTGAGCATGCCCCAAAGCCCCTGGGAGCACATGGGGATGAAGCACGGCTGGGTGTAATCCAAAGTGAGTGTTCCTGGCACATTCCAACCAGAAATATGTGGAAAACATCTATTTAGGACTAAGCCCAGTTGTTCCTGTGATCCCGGTGATCCCAACATTTCTTTGCAGGACACACCAGCAGGCTTTTCAGCAAATGTTTAACAAATATCCCCCCACACTTCCACAGGGCCTGAGCACAGTAACTAACACTCCTGATGGAAGTGAGGAGTGATCAGCTGTGCTGGAGTCACACGTCGCTTGGACCAGGAGCTGCAGCTCCATGCAAACAGCATTCCACGGTCTCACGCCCATGAGAACCCTATCCCAACATGCCAGCAGATCCACCCAGCACTGACACCAACCTTCAGCCTTCCAGGCAGCAGGAATCTGCCCAGTTCCGCCTCTGGGAATGGGACAAAGCCAGGTTCAGCCAATCCCAGCACCCTGCAAATCCTTCCTAATAGGAATTCAGACTCTTAACAACAAATGTCCACCCAAAATAAGGGGAAAGTCATAAAACCCCCCGGAGCCTCCTCTCTCTTTCTGTCTATGGCCTTTCCCAGGGCAACTCCAATGGTCACATGCCAGGTTTGGGAAGAGACTCACCAAGAGCAGCAGAACATCCTGGCCCTCCCTGCAGCACTGCACTCCCTGCCCTGACATCATCAGGAAACCAAGGGAGGAATTCAAGAGGACACAAGGTCCAAGAGCTCAGTGTCACTCGGCTCCATCCTGGGGGAAATAAACCTTTGGGAACACTAAAGTGAAGCAGTTCACCAGAACCAAATGTGAAGCAGCAAAATCAGATCCATTCAAAGATCCAGACTGGAATTTATGGGGCTTTAATTCCCTTATTTTGTTAAATTTCAATCGTGCTGAACATACTGCAGAAACAGGAAATAATTCTCTTTGTTAGGGCCAAATCCTGACCCAAGGTCGGCCACAACCGGTGGCTCCAGCATGTTTATAAAGAGACTTCCAGAAATATTTCAGGAGCAGCAAACTCTGATGTCTCTCTCCTAGATCTGCCACGTGATGTTTTGCTGAGGGCAGGAACCAAGCTGGGAGCCAGGACTCCACTCCCAGGGCTCTCCTCCCAGCCCAGCCCCTCCGCCACATCCCATCCCCACAGGGACACGGGGAACCTCAGGCCAGACCCTCAGTGAGCTTCAGGTGAGGCAGGAGGTGCCCAAATCCATGGGAAATTTGATCCTGCCAGATCCACACGGATGTTTTTGCTCCCAACATTGGAGAGCTGCAGCAGAGTGGCAAACCAGCATATATCAAACTCCTAAAGCCCAAATCCTCCAAAGCCCAGGGATTTGGCAGCACTCAGTGCTAAGCAGGGGGTCCCGAGGGGAAAGGCCATGCTGGGACCTGCAGGTGGGACATGGGAGCAGCTCTCACTTGGGCCCTATTGGAGTAACAATGAGAAAAATGAGCTTCTCCATGAGGTCCAAGCGAGCGTGTCCTGATGCTCCTGAAGGAGGTTTCTAGCTTCCTGCTGCTCCCCAGAACACGGGGGGCTGCCTCCATGCCATCCCACATCCCTGTCCTGGCCCAGCAGGTTACCTAACGCCGCCAGAACAGCCGCACGCCGCGCCGAGATTAGATTAACGGCTCCCGTCCTGACCTGACACCTGTGCTGTGCTCACTAAGCTCCGTCCGGAAGCGCTGGATGGGCCACAGACCATGCTCCTGCCTCTTCCAGGACGGGAATCAACCCGGCTTATCATCATCATCTCTAAAAACTGCTATTCCTGATAAAACTGATGGTGCAGGACGCCCGTGGAGCTCACCAGCCCCCCAGCCCAAAGGAGGGGAGCTATGAGTGCAGAAGGAAGCCAGTCCAAGAGGGAAGAATGGAGATGCTGGGGAACAGATGGCACAGGCAGCTGTGGCAGTGCTGGATGTGGCTCTGTGGCTGCACCTCATGTGTGGCAGGAGCAGCTCTCCAAGATTTACCATTCTGGGAACCGCAGGCTCTGGAACCTCCGGCAGAGTTTTAGCACAATCCAAAAGGACAGCACATAATCCCTGCAAATGAGCTTTCCCAGCAGGGTAAAGGGACTCCTAAAACCACGCTGGTGCTCACGAGTCAAGAACGGGAGTGAAGCGAAAATTATGGAAATCAAACAGTTATGGAAATCATACCGTTTTTATAAAGCTTCAGTGCTTCAATGAACAGCTTTATCCTGTTTTTTCCAGAGCTCCAGCTGCTTCCCAGTGCTCCAGACACAGCTGGGCTCCTCCCAATACCTGGGTTATCCTGAACCTTGGGCTGAAGACCCCACCAGATTGACACCTCCAAGACAGATAAAAGCTGAACAAACACAGCAGCTCCATCAAATCCAGGCTCTGTCCCACCATCATTATCCCTCTTGGTTATCAATTCCTCTTGCTCCCAAAATCATAGGATTCTCTAATGAAACACTGACAACGAACTCAGTTCTCTCAGTGTCTGCACCAAAGAAATTCCCTTTGAGCCAAGTTCTCCCTAAACCAGGCCGTGACTATTTCCAGCCTGGTTCTCTGCAAGAGCTGGGCCTGGCACACGCTGTCCTTGCCTGTATCCCGGGGGGATGCTCCAAGTGTCCCCTCTGCAATCGAGGCCACAGCAGCTTCATCACCAGTTCCGCGCATTTTCTCCCCGGAATATTTCAACCCAATGCTCCTCCCACAAGGAAAATCCATTTTCAGTCATTTGCAGGGATGAGTTCAGGGTGTAACTCAGGACTGGGAGAGCTGAAGTGCCAACTGAGGGCCAGAGCATCTCCCAGCACTCCCCCACAGACAGAAGAGCCACATCCTGGCACTGAGTGGCACGGATTCACTACAAATACCAGCAGAAAATTAAATAAATTCCAACAGAAAACCAAAACAATCTATACTAAGGCACCGGGAAGAGCAGAGTCCTAAATTTTAAGCGATGTGGGCACATGGCTCCTTTTCCCATCCCCAGCCGTGCTCCATCCCAGTGGAATTTGGATGCTCCTGCCCACACCAGGGGCTGACAAGGGTCTCACACCTGAAGCACACACGGGAGATGCAGGATGTGTATCCTGACAGCTGCCCCTTCAGACACATCCAACACTGCATCCACAAGTGGCCACACCACCTCCACTTCAGAAGTTTCCTTAGCACAAAACCACCTTTAGGTAGCTTAAACATCCCATTTCCCCAAAGAACGACTCAGCATGGACATGTGCCAGGTCAGGAAGATAAAACCCAGCAGTGCCAGTGATTCAGAGTGAAGAATCCCGGCTGGAAGTTTGGACTTTCCAGCTCCATGACTTCAGCAGACAAGGCCTTTAGGAACCCGGAGATGGCCGGCTCCTGCCCGGAGCCACCCCAAGTACCCCTTTCACAGACAGGAAAGCCGAGGGGTCCCGCAGCATTCCCGGCGCACTGAGATCAAACCCAGCTCCTGAGAGGCTCCGTCCCGCTACCATGAGTGACTGCCAAGGCCTCGGAACAGTTTCCCCGGAGCTGGGGATCGGCCGGGGCTGGGGCCAGGAGCTGCTCCTCGCTCACATCGACAGCACGGAGACCGGCGAGGCAGCGGGGAATCAGCCAGACGAGGAACTCCCTTTCCTCACGGATCGGGACTCGCAGGGTTGTTTCTGAGCTCGTGTTTCGCTGCCGACGGACCCGAGCCCGGCCCCGGCTCTCCCCGCTCGGCCAGGGACCCCGGGAGCGACCCCAGCCTGGACCGGGCAGCCGTCCGCATATCCCGGCGCTCCCAGGGAAAATAAAGTACCAAGAGGACAATTATTTCGCCCCAAGTCGCCGGGACCAGGAAAATGTCACTCCCCTGCCCCAGGGGCAGCGGGGTCGTCCCCTCCCCTGGCGGTGGCTCCAGCGGCGGGACAGCCCAGGGGATTCCGCACCGGGAACGGGCGGGGGGAGCCCCCCGGCCCCGGAGCTCCCCGGGCTGAGGCGGGACCCGCAGCCGGGACCCGCACCCCGGGACCCACCCTCGTACGCCGGGACGACCTCCGAGACCGACCCCAGAACCCGCATCCCGAGACCGACACCGGGACGCGCCCTCGCCGCCCCCTGAGGCCGCGCCATGACCCCGCGGGCGCTGCCGACGCCGCCCCAAGGCCCGGCCCCGCCAAAACTTTCCCGAGGCCGAGCGGGGGCCCGCCGTTACCTACGAGAGACTCCATGGGCGGCCTGGCACGGCCCGGCCCGGAGCGGCCCCCGGGCCCTCCCGCCGCCGTCGCCGCCGCCGCCGCTGA